AATCACTAGAGGGGAGGTGATGTAGTGAAGCGGTTGCATGGTAATGCAAACAGCACTGGCATGAAGTACCTCCCGGTTTTTGTAGATGTTGTTGATTTTGTTGATTTTGTTGATAAACCTGTTTATTAGTAAAAATATGAAGAGTTCTTAGTGTGTTTTATTGGTCTAGAGCCTATCGTATACTCTAAAATACGGAGTTCCTTTCTATTAATTCTTTAATTGAATACTTTAGAAAATGGACCTCCAATTTGTCGAACAAAAAATTTAAATTAAATATTTCAGAAATATATGTTCTTACTTTACTAACCAAAATTATATCAAAATAGATAATTACTACTGTAATGTTTTGAGATTAACACTCCATTACTCGCGGTATATCTAACAGATACACAGTTTATAATTTTCAAAATAGAGAACTACATGCACTGATTTTACTCTTCTTTTTATTTCCACTTAGCTATATATGAAATGTATTGTAATGGAAAGTATTTATATCGAGAAACAAATCAATTTGAAGAACGTTTTAAAGTTCCCTGAGCCCAAATAACCAAGTCTCGCGAAATAGGAGGCCGTGATGGCTGAGCATGTTAGAGCGTTTCTCGAGTCTAGCGGCGTCGGTTCAAATCCGGTATGGACAATTTAAATTCATTTTGTACCACACCAATGAAATGAAGTTCGACCTTTCCACTCAGATTATATTAGAGTAGATTCGGTTGCACCTCAGGAACAACCTCGTATACATAAAGTGGAGAAGTTGGGAAGGATGAACAAAAAGTCTCATAAAATGGAGACCTTGATGGCTGTGAGTGTTGAGGCGTTGCCAATTTAACATTCTCGAGTCTTGCGACGATAATTCGAATCCGGTCTAGATACATTAAAATTCATTTCTAATGATTTTTTTTTTTTTTATGGAAAATGTTTAATAAATAAATGTTGTTAATGAAATTTTGTATGCAATCATTCATTCCAACACCTACTTTATTTCAATTTAGGGGAACACCAGTGTATCTATGTATGACCCGAACAATGGAGTGCTAATTGAATCGGTTACCATAGTGATAGCAGTCTGGAATGATGACTGCGACTAGAAAGATTAATATGTGCTTCATCTCAGTGAACTAATCAAACTACTAACTGTCATATTTGCACCTTCTTATATATATATATATATATATAGCTTAATTTATTCTTTTATAATGCAAATTCACGAATAACCTCTTTGGAAATATTCTGTTACACGTTCTATATTCAATATCATGAAATAAACAACAAGAAGAACCTCTTGTTGACATTAACATAAATGACATTTTTAACTCACAATAAATCTTTAGATTACCTAAAAATGAGATGTGTTCATGTTATTAGATTTTCATATCTTAAATTATGTTTCATAGACGAGAATTGAGTTTATTGTCAAGAAGATGAAAGGGAATTTTTAAGGTCTTAATAGATTTTGATGTTTTTAATGTAAAAGTATGACTTAAGATAATTATTCCTTGAGACTACAAGTTAGAGGAGTGAGTGGGCACTGCAACACAAAAGTAACACCAATACGATGGATGATTACTAGATCACATGATAACGTAATATTTTATCATCTAATAGGACCTATATTTTGCTTTATTAAATGCTTTTGACCTGACAAAGAAAACGACTTTCCTAATGTTATGCTCAGTTCGGTTCTACCTCTTTGGAACAAGTAGAGGTTATCTTCAAAAGATTTAGACTGAGCCTTGTTAGTTTTTCAGTTAATATTTTTTTTTCTTTTTTGGTAATTAGTAGTGTCAAACTGCCTGATTAGTAGAGTTACCATTCACATTTGTAGTAGTTTTGTTACTAGTTTATCCCATCCACCCACGTGGGCGCTATCAAATTATTAAGTAATTTTTTTTTGTTTTTTTGTTTAATTACAATTACAAGTTGAACTGGCATGCTTCATCTAATAATTTCATTATAAATATTTTTAATTTATTATTTTGCATAATACAAGATTTCCAGTTAAACAGTTCTTTATTTTGTATACACTATTGAGTTTTTATTTAATAAAAAGTATGTTTTATTTTCTGACTTTTTTTTTCTAAAGTTTTATAATTAAATAAAGATGTATTTTATTTTCATTTATTTTTATTTTACTATGCCATGATGGCGCTGACCAGAGACCGGGAGGCGTGGCTGGGGCACCTCCACGCTGAAAGGCACAAGGAGGAAGAAGAAGTATTTTATTTTCTGCATTTGAAGTTTTATAATGAACAAATCCATAGAATTTTTAAAATCTCTTACGTGCTAGCGGAAGACGATAGGTGAAGTAACCAGGACGGCCGCGTGAGTTTTTGACGCCCAGGAGGAAATTATAATAGGCGCCTCCCTTACGTCCCTCCAACCCAGTAGTATACTGTTTCATGTTTAAGCGTTATATTTATTGCACTTACACTTTTGCACTTCCGTTCATGACCGATAAATCTTTAGCCAGCTTGTTGTAATTTTACAAGCAAGTGGAATTGAGGTAAGAAATAATTATTTCGCTAATTAATAAGTATAAAACGGATAGAAATAAAGTGTTTCAGACGTCTTCGTATTCTTTATATTTTTGTCTCTGATTCATGGTACCCCGTCTGTCCACACTATGGCTCTGGTTGCACATACTCGTTTTGGTTTTTCTCTCTATCAGTTATATCTAAATGGAAACATTAATTTTAAAATTTATTTTATCAGATTTTATAAATACATGTTTATAATATAGAGCTGAGAATATTTAGAAGATTGCTGTGAAAGATAGAACCGAACACCACACTACAGTACACTAAGGCCACACACTCAGGATCCACCAAACTTTCCAGATCCGCTGTTATTTCAAGTTTTTAGGTAAATTTAAACAATTTTTATTTCTTAAAAAGTTCAGGCTCAATTCTATATACGTTCTTTATAATTTGAATTCCATTGCAACTAAAATTTACGCACTTTTTTTCCATGCAAGAACACGATTCAAGTACTTAGGTTTCACATTCTCTTTAATTACATTAGCGAATTAGTAACCTTCACGGTGCTTACTATTCCTAGACAGATTTGAGTCTATAATCTAAATTCCATCATATTACTAAGTTCTTTTTTTTTTTTATTTGAAAATTCTCAATCATCCCAACACAGGTTGTAATTAATAAACCATTTGCTAGAAATGGAATAAGCTGTAAAATATATCTCCTCCGACCCACATTTCACTCTGTCCATCACATTCCGAAGTCTCTTTGATTTGTTAATGTTATAGTTAGTGTAAAGATATGTGTTTTACAGTTATTGAACTTGTAACTCTAATATTTATAACTTATTATTATTTCTTTAAATTTAGATGATGTTTTATAAAGCTATTCACAACCAGAATTACCATACCCAATAAATAGTAAATCCATTTTCATTGTGCAATTGTGTTCCTACTCTTAAGATAACGTCTCATATGCTTGAAAATAAGATTATCGCTTGGGTTTATTGAACATATAGCATGATGAGCTCAGTCAATATGGTTTAAGAAACAGTATGCAATACTTACTGAACTTGAAATCTAATAGATATGAAATTGGAATGTATTCAGATGATAAGTAATGGTTTATTTTCCATGTTATGTTATGAATGTATATATTACTACACTCTCCAAACCTTAATCTCCTGGTAGGACAACCACTCTAAGTTTGCAAAAACGATCCTCCTTCTATCTGACTTTGTAAGATATTCTTATGTTTATGTGTATGCTTCTCGTTATATTTATTTATGTTTAAGTAAGGAAAAATGTTTTCTTAAGACGAAGTGTGAGTAGATTCTCACAAAATTATGAGATTCCTACTCTGTAAGAAACACCTACATTTTCTTCATTACCATGACTGGCAGGCATTACTTTACAGGGGTCAGAATAGTTATCTGCCTACTTCTTACAACTTCTGAATTAACCTATCTTCTGATTGTATAAGGCCTTTCTTATCTTGTTCCTTCCTTCTGAGCTTTCTTTCATGCATAGTCTGCAACAATATTCCAATTCTGTTTTGTCATCATCAGAGCGCCTAGATTTTTTGGGACTGATTCCAAATTATGTTGAGCCACCAATCTTCGAATTTCCGTCAAATGGTAAGGTTCGGGATTAAGAGTATAAACTCGACGACAGTTTTTCTGAGATTCTCTGACCATCGGGCGGCGTGTCTTTTCCTGGTGGACGGTCACCTAAATCTGGCGGTCACCCATCCAAGTGCTAACCACGTGTTTACACTCACAAAAATATAAGTGGTCCACGACTAAGAAAGGATTTCTCATCCCTCAATAATAAGAGTTCTTTTTAAGAAAAAAGCCCGAGCCTGAGCCGACCAACCCTGATGAAGCGGATTAGATCACAATACTTGAAGAGCTCCGAGATATCTGCGTTTGGTCTGATCATTGACATCGAAAGTTGCTGCAAAAATAAGATTTTTCAAGGATACTAAATCCATTCTTTCAAATCGGAGGAGTTCGCTTCTCTGGGCTTTGAATTGAGTCCAGCTCTCTGATCCATATGTAAGCACTGGCCTAATGTACAAACGCAATTTGGTTGGGCGAGATAATATTCTACTTTTCATCAATCGCACTTTCCCAAAATAACATTGGTATAATATAATAAAATAATAAACATAAAATAATATTTTATGAATGTATTATTTTTATTTGTTTATTTTATTTAGCTAAATTATGTAAAAAGTTTAGTTTCACCACTTATACTAAATTTTCCACTATACTCGTTTTTATCTGATTCATTTTACTTAATTATTATAAATCCTTTTTTATTGTATTTTTGGGGTCTAATCTGTAGATATTGAACGGCTAACTTTACACGGGTTCTTCAGGCCCATCCAGCAACATCACAGGAACAGTAAATATAAAGCAGAGATATGACATGCAGATAATATTGATGACTGATGAATTATTACCTGGTTAGTTGCAATGTTTGTTAAAAAAAAAAGAAAAGGTGTTATACAATTGTTATTATACAGAGCTTTAAATTAAATTCTTTATTATAAGATTCAAATCAAAAAATGTTCCATGAATTCAGATTGTAAAGGGAAAAGAATTTTTTATGAAATAATGTGTTTGTGTGAATCACTTGTAGTCTTCTTCATTTTTAATGGTTAATTGAGAAAGTCGAAGCCATTTATACTCCAACTTCTACACCAGCCTCTGCACCAGCCTCGGCCTCAGCTTCGCCCTGAGCTGCTCCCGCAGACCCATATCCAGCTGCTCCACTGAGTCCTGTTGAAGCTGATCCTTGGCTTTGGGCTCCTGCACTACCATGTCCTGATTGGTAACCAGGCCAGCCTGAGAATGAACCACCGGAAAGCTGTGCTTGCAGTTGGGTGTTTGATTGGCTTTGTTGAGATTCACTTTTACTTAAACGAAGGCCTCCTTGGGTTTGTTGGTAGTTAGATGGGATTCCCATAAATCCGCCGGAAAAGCCACGATATCCTCCTTGAGCTCCAGTATTGGCGTTGCTTTGTGCACCATAAAACGATGGTCTACCTTGAACGAATTGTCCTTGGCTTGGAAATTGTCCAGAAGCTCCTCCTCCTATTCCTGTATTTGCACCAGCTTGTCCTCTGAATTGTTGTCCCCAGGGAGATTGTCCAAATGATGCTGCACCAGCCTGAGATCCAGCGGCTACTTGGCCTTGTCCAAACCTTCCTGGAAATCCGCCAGCACTGAACTGCCCTTGATTTTGAGATCCTGCTTGACCATAAGCTCCTACATTTGCACCAGCTTGTCCCCTGAATTGCTGTTGGCCCCAAGCGGATTGTCCGTTCGATCCTGCTCCGGCTTGTGCTCCAGCGGCAGCTCCACTTTGTCCACCAGATCCTCCTTGACCAGAAGCTCCTACATTTGCACCAGCTTGTCCTCTGAATTGCTGTTGACCCCAAGCGGATTGTCCGTTCGATCCTGCTCCGGCTTGTGCTCCAGCGGCAGCTTCACCTTGTCCACCAGATCCTGCATGACCAGAAGCTCCGCTAAAGTATCCTCTGAATGGCTGTTGGACCCAGTGTGATTGTCCATTTGATCCTGCACCGGCTTGAGCTCCAGCAGTACCAGATTCACCAGCATTGAACTGCCCTTGACTTTGAGATCCTGCTTGGCTAGAAGATGCACCACTTAGACCATCTTGTGATCTATGTTGCTGATGACCCCAAGGTCCAGCCATTGCACCAATCTGAGCACCAGCTGAGGCTTGGCTTTGTCCTGGCCAGTAGGAAGAAGGTGAGGCACCAGCACCTAACTGTCCACCTGACTGTGTATGAGATTGCGCTGCTCCTCCGAAATGTCCTTGACTTTGACCGAAAGCACCTCCAGCTAAACCCGTATTCGCTCCAGCTTGTCCTCTGAATTGCTGTTGACCCGAGGGTGATTGTCCGTTAGATCCTGCGCTGGCTTGAGCTCCAGCTGCAGCTTGACTTTGTCCGTGCCAGTAAGAAGGTGGAGCGCCGCCAGTAAACAGTCCTTGGCTTTGAGCTAGTGCCTGACCGGAAGCACCCCCTGCTTGTGCAGATCCTTGAGTTTGGGTTTGAGCGCCCGCACCAACTTGTCCACCTGCCTGCGCCTGAGACACTGAACCTGCTTGTAAATGTGATCCGCCTTTGGAGGATCCACCTAAACTAACTCCTGCTCCTGAAGCAGCTAATTGAGCGCTCCCACTGGCACCAGTACCAGCAGCTGCACCACTAACTGCCGATGCTTGGCCACCTAGAGATATTAATATATCATTTATTGTTTCTCTGATTTCTATAAAAATTGTTTAGATAAAATATTAGATTTCCAAAATAAGTTCCAGTGAAATTTGCAATTTCATGTTAATTTATCAGAACTTGAAATATATATCATATTGGAAAGGAAGGAAATTAAAAGATAGTATATAAATGGAAGCACTCTATGGTAAATGTGATTATTCTCTTTTTAAAAATGTCGTGGTGTGGCAGAAAGAACTAAAAAGGAAAAGAAAGACAATGGTCATTAATGGAAAGACATTAATGAATGTTTTTACGAGTTGGGTATTGATCATTCCAAAGATAAGGAGTAGGCAATCTAATTTAAACTTTGATTAGTTTCTGTTAACGCCGCATACGCTCATATCTTTATTATTTTTTTCTCACCATTCATCCCTTTTAAACCTAATAAGACCTGAGAGATAGTGTCTCTATAATGTATCTCAGTGTATATTATTTAAATATTGGGTGTTATTCGTGATGTTTATCGCTTATTTATATGCACCAGTCCAGCAGTAATAATCAGTCTTAGGAATTAAGACATCAAAATAATGCGATAATACTGCCGGAAAGTCAGCCTTTGTTGACATTAGATCCATGTAGTGGACGTCTACCCCCACCAGTCCAGACTCACCCCATCTCACCTGGCAACAGCCTAGCGCTATTTTCAAAGAACAGCTGTTCGGCGCATCGGCACTCGTCTATCGATATAGGCTATCGATTCGACATTTCCTCACCAACGACTGTGTAAAATCGTAGAAGGTAACCTCGTTGGAAGCAGAACCTCCAACATGGCTCGTTTTTTTATTATTTGCCACCGTCACGAAAGGCAGTAAATCATTTTACCTTTTTTCTTCACTAAATTAGTTTTATTCTTTTGAACAGTTATTTTTTTTCTCTTGTTTTATTTATAATCTTGATATTGATTTATTCATATATCTTTTCCTAATGTTTAATTTGTTTTTATTTTTCTCTGAATATTGTATCTTATATTTCATTTTATTTCAGTGCATTTTAATACTCTTCTTTTATTTTGTTTTGTTTTCAACATTTGTATATATCTTTTTTCCACCATAATAAATATTTTAAACATTCAAAAAGGAGATTTATATTTATTTTCCATTTTTTTTATTCATTGAAATATTTCTAGTTTTTAATATTTTCTTGTGCATGCATTTTTTTCATGTTTTACAGGTCACATATTCACTACTTTTTTTCATACTTTCCCACCATTTAATTTTGCTCGAATTTTCCCCACCGTTGAGGTAATTCACAGCGGAAAGGTCTGTATTTTAATTTTGAAGTACCCCTTGGATTGACGTAAAGCTTTCCCGCTGGAAATAGCACAGAGGGGAAAGGAAAGAAGAAGAAAAATAAAAGGCTATGTTTAGCCCACTTTACAGTTTTATTATGTAGTACATGAGGGTCGAACAAGTGAGGGAGGGGCACGTTTATGAACATTATGGGTTCGATTCCCACTAGGATGGATTAATAGTTATCTATCTACGACACCGATAACTGAATCTTGACAATCTCACACTGGATAGTACCTGGTGGCAATCTAATGAATTAGGTATTCAATATATATATTTTAAGGATTCTTTATGTTTTAGGTGTGAATTTTTCTTGTTCCTGAGCTTCTTAATTGCAATTAATTCAATAAAAAAAAAGAAATATATTTAAAAAATAAAAAGAAGATTAATGATATGTATAATAATTACGTCTTAGTTTTTTTTATCTTAGCATGATATGACATTCTTTATTGAGTATCGGAATAATTCAAACCAATTGTGGTTGAAGTTTTATTGTAATAATACTGTCAATAACTGTTAATCATAAATAATTGTAAATATAATAGAACTATAATATATAACCTTCTAATATTATTTTATTTTTTAAATGGGTCTTATTATAAGAATAAAGTGAACATATTACCAAGTGATTGGCCAAAAGAAGCTTGGAAGAGAGCTGCAACTAGGATTAAAAGTCCCTTCATGTTTCTCAACTGTCGCCTGTTACCCACGTCCGTGCTTTTATACTCGGATTTCGTTGGTGATGAATTTCGTAAGCAATGCATAATCATGTACATTAAGCGTATTCAGTATCACGCCCTCAACCCTCTGAAGTAAACAGGCATTGACGATAAACCGTATCAGGTAATTCGGTGTTAGGTTTCAGTAGCTTTTGGCTAATGGCGAACCAAAACTACTTACTTTTCTGTGATCAATAAAGGACACCTTTCATTAGAACCACATACTTTAAAATTAAGATAGAACTGACTACATCGAGTAATGAATACTCACTACAACTCATGAATAATATCGGTCTACGGTTGTAATAAGCAGGTGATTTGGACGAAATAATGGTCAGCTACTTATAAATTAAGAGTACCCACATCAGAGAGCTCGGATATGTCCGAGGAGGGTCTTTAGACCCATAGCTAATGAGGCAGAATATAACTTATCTCCTTCAGCCGCAGTCGAATCCATCACCTGTAGGATATAGGTGCACAGTGCCTTGCTCACTGAGCTACTCTGCTCTTTATTAATCGTAAAACTCTTTATATTTTACAAGCTCTTTAAAAATATTTTAGATTTTATAATTTATTCAAATAAAAATCCACTACTCCGGTGGAGTGGATCAGTTAATGTTTCTCCTTGGTTTATCAGAAATAAATAATGCTTAAGGATTTAGGACTTGTTTTTACTTTTTAAAGTTAAAGCTAGTAATCTTGGGTAAGTATTGAAATCGGGTCAAATTTTGAATTGATCTTTAAGTTTCCGATTCCATTAATGTATTTTTAGCCATTGATCTGTGTATCTCGAATACTATTTTTTAAATGATTTTGTTATGTCATCTCTTTTTTTAGAAGCCTTGGAACAAAATTCGGCATCCCTTTTTCATTTGCCAAACACCTTTATTGATGAAACTTTACCTATAATTAACACTTCTATAGCAGTACTTATGGAGCTCCTCCTTATACAACTTCTTAGAGTGGAAAGTACACCCAAAATCGCAAGGATCATCAGACATATACTTAAGAAAGCCTGGACGGTTTATCAAAAAGCTGATTATTCTTGGTCTTAGAATAACTGAAGCATTACTCTTGACCGACGTATTCAACTTAACTAAAACCGATATACTTTCCAAGCTGTCCCTTAGTTGGAAAAACTAAATTTCATAGAATGTTAAAAACATCGGTCAGTCATTAGGTCAACATCGATATTTAGAGGTTTTTGTGGTGAAAAAGGACTCCCAAATAGGCCGTTTCCTTTATCGTTAAAGGATTCCTTTCAGACCACAGGCGGATCTACAGGGGATAGGAGGGCTTTTGGGCTGGCCCCCTCCCCCCCCAAAATGGTAAAATATAATCATGTTTTACAGAAAAAAATATTAAAAACTATCTCTTAAAGTATTCTTGTTCGTTTAATTACATTTAATAGGACTTCAAGAATCACTTAAACACCATTTCATATAGGTAGTTAATTTCTTTCTTTTTGTTTTCAAATTAAGTATCGTTATATGTATATGAAAAAAATTCTATCGGGCTGAAGCCCCCTCCCCCCCAAAATTAAATCCTGGATCCGCTAGTGTTTCAGACCACAAGAGCTGATGCATCTTCTTGGACAAGCAAGCATAAAAATAAAGGTAATGCCATAGCAAACCAAAATTCAGCTTCAGAAAGGAGCCAATGAGAATTGGACATTTTTGAATGGTATTCGTATTCATTGATACCTAAGATGTTACTTGGTGGTACCATTGTGAAATAAGTTAAATTTTAGGCTTTATTTTTAATAATGGCCGTTTTATCGCAAAAAAAAAATAAAGATAGACGCAGCGATGTCTCTTCTTCTCAAACAAAGTCCGATTGATTATAATTTACTATACCATGATCAGTACTATAAAAAAACAAAAAACAATCAGAGCTAGTTTGTCAGTGTAAGAAGGATTCTAAGTACCCTGTATAATGGAATTATTACACTATATAATAGTGCACTGGTCTATTTTTTTTTAATTAAATTTATTTATTGAATAATAATACAATCAGCCACTGCTGGAGGGCTATAAGTATTAGGGCTGAAAGTTCTCATTCATACAATTATACAAATAATAAAGAAATAAATAAATAATACTGATGAAGAAGGTAAATAAAAAGAAAGAAAAAACAAATAAAATAAAATAAAAACACAATCATAACTATATACATTCACCCGAGAATCTCCGAGCCAGGTTTTTTCCCCCATATGTGGAAGGCAAAGCAAGACTCCGGAAGATCCCAGTGCCACTTTTCCAGCCGCATCACTAGTATTAGAAGCCAGCGGAGACTGAAAGAGGGCACTAGAGCCACAGACGCTCAGGACATGAGTGGAGAAGTTGGCCATTGCCAGGACTCCAAATGCATATTTACAAAAGATCTCGAGGCCACTGCCGTTCAACCTTCGAGGGGATGGTATGGACTCTCCTGGATAGGGGTTGCGCTAGAGGATTGGGATGATGAATAAGGTTCTGGTGAAAGTTGGAGAATCTGGATGGGATGTTAAGGTCATGGTGTAGGGTCTTGTTCGTGACATAATATGGAGCATTGACTATTGTTCGAAGGACTTTGGAGTGGAAGGATTGGATGCGTTTGATTCGATGATTTAGTTGTTCCCCACTGTTCAGGTCCATAGGTCCAGACAGGTTTCAGTATGGTCTTGTAGATTAATAATTTGTTTTCTGTTGAGAGATGGGATGTTCTGTTTAGTAGTCTATATAGCTGACCAAATCGTCGTTTAAGCTCTTGTCTTTTAAGTCTCGTATGTCGGTTCCAAGTTAGTGTTTTGTCTAGAAGGAAGCCAAGGTATCGGACTGTGTCTGAGTAGGGAAGAGGAATTACAAAAGGATTGGCGGACAGGATACTAGTCTAATAAGTTTTAAAAAGGGATGAGCTCTTCGCTGAGGGGAAGAGTTGAATCCTGGACAGAGAAATAGACACACTGTAAATTCTATATAAATATCATATAAAAATAAAAATAAAATGTGTTTAAATTCACTTGAATTTGTACTTATTTATTCTGCACATTAGGGTCCATGTAGCAGATAACGTAGAAGAGATAGACTATTAGACAACCACTATTAAATCCAATATGTGACTCCAATCTTTAGTTCTCCGCGAAGTGTTCGTGAACAATGTGCGCTAGAATTGTTCGCAAAAAACGACTTTAACGGACATTTGTAAGCATTTTCTTGTTCTTTCTTTAATAAGCATTTTTCATGAGAAAACAAAGTAGACAATCTTTTGGTGTTTTTATTACACCATATGCCCAATCCACCAATTTTGGAAATTCCATATGCTTGTAGAAAATTCATAGTTCTTTTAACAAGGTATGAGCTCTATTAAATAATTTATTATAAAAGGTACATGAAGAAGTTGATGCGTATAGTTTTAAAAATTCTATCCTTAAATGATTTCGAATAGAATAGAATAAAGTTAATGAACATTGAAATAAATAAAATATTGAAGCTAATGACCCTATGTTTTATACCTTAGAGTCAAAACAATCAATTCCAATTTAATTTTTAAATAAACAATTAAAAGAGGTGTCTCAGCCTGTTTACTTATTTTAGAAGAGCGTGCGTTGGAATAATTTTCATATTCATAGATATGCAAAATGCAGAAGCTTCTTTCTGCAGGATATAAAAAGTGAGCCCAGATGGAAGTAGGCAGTTCGGCAAGATGAAGTCTCAACTGATCTTTCTAACAATTGCGCTCTTTCAAGCTTCTTGTGGCTTATCTCTTGGTAATTGAGTCAGATGATACTCTTTGTAATACTTAAAAAGAACATTTGACACTGTTTGAACATATCTACACCTTTAATATAAGAAAAAAGAAGCGTTATCAACAGTGCTCCATCACTGAAGCCGTGTTTTCTCCTTATTATTGAGTTTTTTTCTGAGGGGAGAGGAAATTAAGCTTTCTATCCTGGGAAATGTCTCTGTTTTCTTAAGGAACTAGCACAGATTTTTTTTAAACGGGGAGAGTGTCCACCTGATAATAGTCATGTTATCCTGTTATCAGGTGTTTTATATATCCTTTTATATATATATATATATATATATATATATATATAAAGATATTTACTTTGGAAGAAAAATAAAGAAACTAACACTACCTATATGAAATAGTGTTAAAGCGATTCTGTTAAAGAGATTATTTTTTAATACCACCATTTTGGGAGGTCTTCAGCCCGAAAGCACCCTTCTCTCCTCCCTCTCTTCGTGTTGATCCGCCTGTGGTTTACACTTTTAGACAGATTTTAACGCTTTGAATATGTTACAAACTTCTTTGGTCCATTTATTACAGTTACTGTTAAGAACATTTTAAAATTTGATATATTCGATTAGGTAAGGAATAATCCTAATACCCTTGGAATTAATATTCTAAGCATTTTTAGGTGGCTATGGGCGAGCTTCGGCCAATAGCGAAGCTGAAGCCAATGGTGGTGCAAGTTTAGGTACAAGCCCCGGCGGATCTCAGTTCCAAGGAAGTGCGCAATCTAAAGGTCAGGCAGGTGGACAGTTTGGTGCCGGTGCTCAAGCTCTATCTCAATCTCAAGGGCAGGCAGGAGGACAGTTTGGTGCCGGTGCTCAATCTCAATCTCTAGGTTCTGCACAAGCAGGAGGTGCTTCCAGCCAAGCGTTATCTCAAAGCCAAGCATTGCATGGAGGCGGAGTGCAATCGCAAGCACTAGCAGCAGGACAGGCTAATGGCGGTGCGCCACCTTCTTACTGGCCAGGACAAGGTCAAGCTGCAGCTGGAGCTCGAGCCGACGCAGGTTCTTACGGACAATCACCCTGGGGTCAACCTCCATTCAGAGGACAAGCTGGCGCGAACGCTGGAGCCATGGGAGGGTACGGTGGAGGTTACATGGGCTCGCCATCAGCCCATCAGCAAACACACGGAGGTCTTCGATTCAGTAAAAGTGAATCAAAGCAAAGCCAATCGAATAGCCATGTACAAGGAGAACTTTACGGCTCTTCGTCCTCAAGTTTACCAGGTTACGGTGCAGCTGGGTACGGTAGTGCAGGAGCCCAAAGTCAAGGATCTGCTTCGGCTGGAGGCCAATAAAATCGAACCGGGTCTGGAGGATTAGCTGAGGCAGGAACTAAGGCTGGTCCTAGAAACTGAGGATTAAAATTATTATATATACAATTAAAATCATGAGATGTTATATTATTACAAAATAAATTTAAATTAAGAATATTTCTTTTATGCGGATTTCAGCTATAATTCATTGTCTTTTGTTAAAGTTCCCAACTTTTCATCCTTTCATTGATTTTGTAATTCTATTTCCCTTAAAATCCTTTAGTTCCTAATCTTCTCATTTTTCTCCACTTTGGTTATCACTGCCTGGTTGGTACCACATAATATTGAAGAATCTAATGGTGCTGAGTTGGTGTGCTGAGTTAAAGTAGTTTTATCTTTCTTTCCGACAACACTATTTTCACGGTGACTATATATATATATATATATATATATATATATATATATATATATATATATATATGTCGATCATTTAGGAATAAAAAGTTTCCTTGTACTCGTAAGGAATATCTGTTGGCCTCCTGTACTTCTGTTCGCTCACTATTTTGGGACTAATGCACGAATTAGTTCATTTCTCCTATCAGAAGGACTTTAATAAACAATGTTGTAGCATACCTCGTCTTGGAATTTCTAATCCACTTTCCAATAAAACCCCATCTTTATGTTCATTCTAGCGTCGGTATGTTCTCAATCATTCCAACAATCAATTATTTACAAGTTTGGTGGAGATCATCAATCTTTGACCATGTTTTAGACCATACCGTTTGACTAAGTTATTAAGTTAGAAGTACAATTTAACCTTTAATTTATTAAGATTTTTGATTTGATGCAATCTTCAGAAGTTAATTATAGGTTAGAAAACAAGAAAAATAGCTTTTTGGCTGTAAAAACTTCTCTCGAGATGTTCCAGTTTTTTTTTTTTTTTTTACATTCTTGGACCCCTATATACAAGTTAATAAACTTTATCCTTATTTTTCGCAGCATTATTCTTGCTTAGGTCCCCAAGTTGCTGACCTAATATACTCTCTGTCAGCCGCCATTATTTAAACTGTGGCTCTGGCATGGCAGAAGCCAAGGTTAATATTAGTTAGAATAACATTCATTTTCATAATTCCCATTCAAACTATCTCCTGCTGTGAGTACCCTTTTATAGCTTCTGACGGCAGGGCAATGTTTTTCTTTATTTTATTGAAATTTACAACTGTATTCCATGGAAAATACAATAAGTAAATGTGACATTGGTAACATGACATGTACAACTTGAAGAGAAACTACCCATTGGTAGAACTCAAATTAAAGTTCTATATTAGAAGGTCCCGAGGCCATCTTCTTTTCAGACCCCTCGGAGGATTATCAGGGATCGAGGAGGAAGCAAGGTTTGAAACGAGAGGATTCAGATGGTTCTGCAGTTTGTTATGGAAGGATAGGTATCTGGATTGGGCCAAATCGGAAACATATGGAACATTAAGGTCTTTATGGATGATTTTATTTGTGACAAAGTAAGGAGCGTTGAGGATTTAACGAAGGATTTTGGATTATAAGGATTGGATACGAGAGGAATTCGATGGTTTAGTGGAGCCCCAAAGCTCAATTCCGTATGTCCAAATAGGTCTTATTATTGTCATATATATGAGTTGCTTGTAATTGATTGTGAGCTTAGAGCGTTTGTCTAGTAAGTTCTGCAGTAGTCGAAAACGTCCGGCGGTTTCTAGTCGTTTCAGTCTGGTATGAGGGTCAGGTCAATGTTAAAGCGGAATTCCACTGAGGCAAAACTGAACGACATGTTGCTTGATACTTGTTTCTCAGTGTTGCCTATTGTAGCCGTCTGAGAATGTGGCACAACGTTCAATTACTGTCGCTGGCGGAATTTCCGCTTTGTCGTACATTTGTGTAGCATGCGACTAAAGCGATTCCATTCAAGCAACTATATTTTGGTAAATCATATCATTACCAACAGTCGCGCCAGGCCAAAATTTTTTATAGGAACTAAGATCCGACTGGCAAAATATTATTTGTAAATAAATATATTATAAATTTTCAAAAAATGCTTTTAAAGTTTCATCAAATAATGTAGATTTTTTCTCATAAGGTCTCAGATTATTTGGGTTTCTATCAAGTGTATTTCGTGTCATCATTGATCTTCATTATCATCACCTAAACACTCAGCAGTTCACAAACCATTTTTTCTAGATGAGCCGTTCTTTTCTTGCTGAAGTTTTTTCGCTTGCGGTGAAACGCTGACAAATTCTTAATTTTTACCTCTATCACCGTACAATTATATTTTCCTGTTTAAATAAATTAACGATTAATGAACAAACCTGCATAACCGTACAATAATTATATTTATCCAATATTTTTTTCTACTTATCGTTTTTAATTCTTATACCTTTGTATTTGGCGATTTTATTATTCTATAATTCGGCAGATTTATGGTAATCGTCAATTAAATAAGTAGTTTTTTTTTCGTCCACTCCATGTTGCCTGCAATAAGACGGCGACACTGTTCGACACGTTGACGCACTCAACAGGCGACAACGGTCAATTTGTAGCATGCAGCAAGGAGACATATTTGTTGTTGCTTTGTGTTCCTTTTATGGAAATACTGTGTGTAGCATGCATCAATGCTTCATGCTACATGTGTCCTAAAAGTTGCCTCAGTGGAATTCCGCCCTTAGATGTACAAGTTTTTGCAGTTAACTGTCGACTTTCTGTTAATACAGACATAACACAACCTACACATATTGCTTCCAAGGAAACTTGTAATATGTGTATATATATATTAATTTGTTGTCGTGTGCTATGTAATTTTCTCCGTTAAAATACCTATATAATGAATATTTTTGATTAACTTTAATTGCTGATTACTAGAAATATATTTTATTATTGATTGATAAAAATATGTCTGATATAATAACTTCAACATTTCTTTAAAAAATAGCTAATTTATGCTGTAAAAAATATTTTACTAGCAGTTAAAATATACTTAGTTTATTTCCAGCTGTTCTTACTTAAAAAATTAATTGAAGTATAACCATTAGTTATGAATTGTGTTATTTTATTCATTACTTGATCTGTTATGTATGACATTAATTAATAATATTTTGTAGATACTCACGATGATGTCACCAATCATTACTCAATAATCACCAAATTTTCTCGACTTAGGTTCAAACGTGAAATGAAATATTTCTTATGATTTTGATTGCGCAGGGACTAACAATTAAGACATTTGTATAACGTAGGGGCAAAAGTTAAGGTGGACAATTCAGAAAAATGGAACATTCACTAATGTTGCTGGTTCTTGGTCTTCTACAACTGTCTCTTGGTCTACCTCTAGGTAATTTACTCAATATGTATTAATCACTAATCGATTCTAAAATTTCCCTGTTATCAGTTTCTATCTTTTATCTAGTATATTTTTAGGTTAGTCACAAAATATTATTGGGTCATTTTCAAAATTAATGTAGCTCTGATGTCTATAAAATTCGAGTTTGCTTTTTCTACTATAATATAATAATGAATTGAAATTCTAATAATAAAGTAATTAAAAGAAACTGGAACCAGATAACAAATTTTTAATATTTAAATAAAGTTATTTAAAAAATATAATTTTTGTTAAAAACTCTGTATGCTTGTATCTTTTTGGGAATAAAGGGAGGATAAAGGATAGAGATATTCTTTGTTTTCCCTATCCTTAATCAGATCATATTATCTTTAATCACTTCTGCATAAAGAAATAAATTAATTTCAGGATGAAAATTGTGATATATTTTTATTAGGAGAATTACTGTTGATAGATTAATCCAAATTTTTCATAAAACTTAATGATACCATATGAATTTGAAACTTTAGTAGTGTCATTTATGCATAAGACGAGTTTAGGTATTCAAGTCAACAAAGAGCAGCAATTTGGTATCAGGCACAGTTAGTAGTGTACTATTATTAATCATAAATAATAGTTTGATAACTATTACTACAACATTGTGATTGTTTTAATACATTGTGATAAGTTGTTGTTGTTGTGATTTATTTAGATATAAAACATGGAGGTCATCAACGCATTTAGTTTTGTTTTTCGCTCAACTATATTTAGATTTTAACTTTTAAATTTTGTTTAACAAATTGTTAAATTTTAAAAAATTTAACGCTAACTGTACTGTTCAGCATGATTTTTAAGGATGTTTGAAATTAGGAGTGTGAGTCTGAAACTGGTTATTAACTCTTATCACGGATAGGTATCCTTGCAGATTGAGGGGAGCAATTACGGGATCTGTGTGGGAGGATAGGATGGCGGTATCATCTGATTTAATGTATAGAGCTTTATTCGGATTAATTACATTTAAAAGTGGAAATCATTTAGTGAGTCATATTATGAACTGTCCTTGTTAACGATCCTTTTCAGTTGTTTTTTTTTACATGGATTGCGTTGGGTTTGCAGTTTTTATAAATTAAAACGAGATCTTCATTAAAAATGATTTATTCCAAAATAATGAACAATTAATCAAAAAATTACATTTTATGCTAAAATATTTATAATTAAATTGTTTTATCATATGTCTAGATAGCTCAATAAAGACCGAAGCAGCTGCTAATTCAGAACTCGATGGCTCTAAAGTAGATGCTGTGCCATTTTCACAAGCTCAACTATCAGATCAATCTGCTGAAGGGCTCCAAGTTGTCAGTGATGTAGATACTGCTTCCGGGGAACAACAAAATTATGAAGATGTACAAGGCGCTGCTGGAATAGCAGATATCCAACTTTCCGGACAAGCTACTGGAGAAGCACAACCACAAATTTCAGGACCCACTGCAAGTGATGCACAATCTGCTGGAGAAGCTCCAGGTGCTGTAGTAGCTCAAGCACCTGGAGGTACACAGGATAACGAGCAAGTACAAAATCCAGGACGAGTAGGTGGAGGAGCACAAACTGGTGGGGAAGACCAAAATATTGTAGGAGCACAACCCCAACTTTCAGGACAAACTGCTGGAGGAGTCCAACTCCAACTTCCAGGGCAAACAGATGGAGGAGCTCAAGTTATTGGAGCAACACAAGCTAATGGCTGTGGAAAACCTAAAGCATCAGCCCAAGCATCACAACCTCAAGTTTCAAAACCAGCTGCAAGTGGAACACCGTCTACTGGACAACTACAAGGTGCGGGAGGAGCTCTAGTTTCGGAAGGATCCAAAGCTTTCAGTGGAGGACAAGCCTACCTGTCGGGACAAGTTTATGGAGCAGCACAATCTCAGAGTTCACAACCATCTGCTGGAGGAGCACAATCCCAACTTTCACAGCCTAATGCGGCCGGAGTACAAGATGCTGGAGGAGTACAAGTTGCTGGAGGAGTACAAGTTGCTGGAGGAGTACAAGTTGCTGGAGGAGTGCAAGTTGCTGGAGGAGTACAAGTTGCTGGAGGAGTACAAGCTGCTGGAGGTGAACTAACTGCTGGAGAAGGCCAAAAGAATGAAAGAACACAAGATGTACCTGTAGCAATTGCAAGCCAAGCACAAGCAGCAGGGGCGGCACAGGAAGCTCCTCAATTCCAGTCAGCGGGCCTTCAAATGTCCCAAGTAAGCGGAAGTGAATCGTCATTGAAGCAACCAAATAAACAATTTCAGCCGCAGGTAATTGGCGTCGCGATGCCATCTAACGCGGCAATTAAAATGTCAGGGAAAAGTGAACAAACTAACGTTGATGCAGGAGCTCAGGCTAAGGTTGGAATTACTGCATGAACCATATATGCAGATTAAATTTTCTTGAATAATAAAGATTGTACAAGCAATTGTTGTAGAATCTACCATTTTTTGGTCAGTAAGACATATAATGGTTACAATTTTATAATTGTACAGGAGGGTATGTTAATATGAAGCTCCCATTAGTTTTTCACTTACCACATTTCACAATTCACAATTAGATATTACAAAAAATAGTTCTGCCTTTTGAGTTACTTATTACCTTCACATATTAGTAACACCTGATTCGGAATTTTGCAAAAAAAGTGAAATGCCTCGTGATGTGCATATAATATGGAAAATCTTTTTTTACATTTACCTTCTTAGGTTTTTATTTGCAAGAAAAAATATATAAACAATGACTGTAATTCATTTATTAATTAAAGAAAAAATAGTATAAAATAAAAAATCTGATTCTCTTCCTTTAAACATCTTCCACTAGCAGTACTCCTAAATTTCAGTGTTGCAGCTTTTTCCACAGCATTATTCCAAGTACTTTTTAAGTATTTCCAAGAATAATCATTTGCAACTCAAGGCGTCTCTCTCTGGAATATCCCTTTCGATATTCGACACGCAAAGTCAGTTTACTCTCTTTAAGCACCTAATCCATTCCCAATCCGATTGATCATGAAATGCACATAAAAGTATGAGTTGTAAGATCTTCAAAGTACACACAGATATTATTTTGTTTATTTATTTATTATGCCTTCCTCTGTTTATTTTATGTTTAAGTATGCTTTTGTTATCTGTATTTTTACCAATTATTTTGTAAATATTTAATTCTATTTTATGGGCATACGAACATGTTTATCTATATTCGGTATATATAATTTGTTCTTAAGGGACACTAGTCCCTCAATAATAAAGTTATTTTCATTCATTCGTGACTAACCATCTCTACAATGGGTAATTTATTAAAAATGATTCAATTAAAAGTATGATCATGAATATTGTTTATTTTTTTTTTTTTTTACAAAAATATATTTCCCCTCCAAAAATTGGAAATCGTATGAAAATGTTTTTCAAGCAAAGTTTATAAGGCATTAAATATTTCCTAAGCAGGTAAAATATCGCTACTAATATGCCGTCAAAGAATAATGTTTAAAATCAAAAACTCGTACGAATGCTTGTTCCTAAGCCTTCTTGTGACAAATTAGTTTATATTTTGTGTAACATGGTAACCCATGGTTACAGCTATTTATTTAACAGGTGATTTTGAATATTCACTTGTCGTTCATTCTCGCATATTTTATTAGTTTTGGTAATGCAGTAATGCGATTGGGAATAACTAAGAAAAGTCTAAGGAGAGGCTTTCTGTCGTAAAGGTAAGGATTCATTCTGTATTAATACTCTGATTATTTACAGAACAGTAAATCATAGAGATATATTTAATTATTTTTAGTACCTGAGATACCGATTTTTGACCTAGTCTACGGTGGATAATGTTTGAACTTTTTTTGGATGTTCTCACGTTCACAGTTATCCTATTATTCTAGACGTCGGAACAGAGAGATTGATGTTCAAATTGTTTTGCAACATCAGCAAACTGATATATAATAGCCAATTGTATCTGCTGTTAGACTGGACTTTGGTTAAGTTATTCTTTTTAATTTTTTAATCTATATATTTTGTTTATTACGTAATTAATTACGTAAAGATTAAGAACATTTTTTTTTTGTGACGCAAGTGTCTTATATTATATTATTTTTTTATATCTAACGCATGACTTAGTATTATATTGACTTGTATTGTTAATCTGGTCATAATTGATCGGGGAATCAAAAAGTTAATATGTACAGCAGTAATAATAATTTATTTTTGTTGCTATCATTGGCAAAACAACATTACAATTAAATGCATATATCACTTTATTCTTATGCTGCGACTCCTGCCTGTGCACCAGCATTGGCGTTAGCCTGTCCACCATTTGCTCCAAAAAGACCAGAGCCTAGACTAAGAGCTGCTCCAGGCACACCCCCTAAACCAGAAAAGGTGCTACCAAACATCTTGGATTCACTTTGCTTGCTGGTTTGGCTGGAAGAAGATTCACTTTTGCTGACTTGCATTCCCCTTTGCGATACAAGTCCCGCCGGTGACAGGTATAAGGAAGCTCCTGGGGCTGCGCCTGCTGCTGCCTGGCTTGAAGCGCCTGCGCCTGCTCCTCCTTGGGCTCCGCCATTGGCTTGGGCTTCTCCAGCAGCTTGGGCTCCGCCATTGGCTTGGGCTCCTCCAGCAGCTTGGGCTCCGCCATTGGCTCCTGCTCCAACGGCAGCTTGGGCACCTCCGGCAGCTTGGGCTCCACCGTTAGCTCCAGCTCCTCCAGCACCAGCCTGTGCTTTTCCAGAGGCTTGTACTCCTATAGCATCTGGTCCTTTTGCTCCTCCAGCAGCTTGGGCACCTGCGGCAGCTTGGGCTCCTCCAGCAGCAGCTTCTGCTTTACCTTTAGCTTGCGCTTCTCCAGCTTGTCCAGAAAGCTGTGCCTGTGCAGATGATTTAGCATCTAATCCAGCCTTTATAGGTGAGCCACCAGCTCCAACATTCGCAGCTGCCTCTGTCTTTGCTGAGCCTTCTAGACAAATAATAAATTAGTTAAATAAATAATTTATAACGCTTTAAATTTTCTTATGCCTAAATAATAGTGCTATCAAATACTTATCATTATTATCAACAATACTTAGGAAAATATTATCGTTGCCTGAAAGAATGTTACATTTCGTCATATTAATTATGATACAGCTTATCTCAATTATAAATTCTTTACAATAATTTTAAAAAAAGAAAGTATAATGTTCTCCCAATAGTCTACAGCATATTTCAAAACTAAAACTTCTTGGAAACACGCATTTGACATATTAATATCCATTATTCCATTCGCCTGGAAGAAATTAATGCAATTAGCCATTTAACACATGTCAACCAAAAATGGAGTTGCTTCCCAGAAATAAATATCTGTAAATTTTTTTTATTGTTTTTTTTCTTGCTGTTAACCTAATAATTACCTCGTTACAATGTATTTTATGGTATCTAAATATTTTTAAAAAGTTAAAGTAGGGAAATATTTCTTTCACAACTTTCAAAGCCTTGCTTTGGTAGGTAAAAGGACTAATCAATTTTTATTTAAAGTTAATAAGGTTTGGTGATTAAATAATAATCTATTGTTCAATAATAATTATGATGTTAATTGGAATAATTTACTACTTGGTTTTTATCGGTAAATTGAATCAATGTCAGTAAAATTGTTTTTGTTTTTTTATTGTTATAATTCATTTGAGGAAAATATTGCAGGTATATTTTTTTGAAAATGAATTTTAGATTTATTTATTTAGTAGGCTATCGAAATCCATATTATTAGCTATTATAAGTTATTATAAATAACTATAGTATTTTTGTTATAATTTACCTAGAGGCTGACCAAAAGACAGTTGGAGAAGAGAAAGAACCAAGAAGATGAGAGAACACTTCATTTTGATGAACTGACGACCTCAACCTTTGCAACTGCTTTTATACGAAACTCTCGGTAGCTCTGTGTTCCTAATCCATGCATAACCACGAACAAAGCAGATATTCCACATCACGTTTCCCCATGACAAGAAATAAACACAATTTTTATCTGTTAAATAAATACCTTTATAAAAAAGAAAGAATTACTGATAAAAATGATAAACTGGAGATCCCAAAAAAACTAGTCATTTTGACAAAAATGACCCTAAATCGTTGTAGATCCATCGTGAAGATGAAATTGTTGGAGGATTTCGAAGCCGATGGACTTAGGCAAGCTGATTCTTTATACCCTATTCTATGTATAATTACTTTAGAGAATGCAATACGAGTAATCTGGACATATCCAGTGGCACTATTTATAAAAGGAGCATTTAGATTATGCTTCTGATGCCGTAATAACAGCAAAAATAAAACTGCGTTACCAAGGGATCTTATAGAATTTGAAACAGCAGCAAAATAACTAGGACTACAAATAAATGAATAGCAGACTATTTGCATGTTAACTTAAAAAAATTGAGAGAAACAGATGAATTTGTTACAAAAGGAAACCACACTCTCAAAGTGGATCTACTGAATACTGGAAATATTAAAGAGAGAGAGGAACTGAAAGCAAGGATGACCACTGGTGGTAGATGCTAGTGTTTTCTAAGGCTTCCGAAAATAAGCTACTCTAATGGAAGAAGAAAACTTCCAGAAATTCTCCACAGGATCTATGGCCGGTGTGTATATATGTACATTGCAAATCTGGCACCAATGAGATTTATGCAATGCCGAAATTAACCTTAATTCTAAGATATAACCAAAATTATGATCAGTTCTGGCACGGTTGCTCAGAGATTCAATTTCCAAACGCCTGCAGGAGGATCGACCTAGTAGAAGGCGAGACAGAGAAAGACCACGCCTGAGATGTCTTTATATGTCGGAGGACATCTTGAAAAAGATTGGGATCCGAAGATGGCGAATGCTCACCCACAGTAGAGGAAAGTGCAGAAAGATTATAAGGGAGGCATAGGTTCTTACAGAACCAAAGCCTCCAAAATAAATAAATACCAATATACATTTCACATTATTTAGCTACAGTATTTGAAAATATTTTATACTTAAGGCAGCCTTTATATTCGTGATGTAAACGTCGCCTGACCGATACTTCAGACCAGTGCCAGCCTTAATCATTTTGGTGCCCTCATGAAAATGACGTCTTCTTCCTCCCTTACCCCCAAAAAATTTCATTGTTTTCTTAAATCGTTTTATATTAAGTAATATTTGAATTTTATCTCATTCAATATATCTCTAATTCAATTCCTTCAGTTAATAATTGACTAAAAGTAATTATCCTCAGAGGCTTCACCCAGCAGGATTTTACTAATGTCTGAGTAAAAAAACAGTGCTGAAAGTAAGCCATCCACAATTACATCTTGTTTTTCACTCAGTAACACCTTGTTTTATCAATTCTCAGTCATCCTGTATTATCTTAGTTTAGCCAACATTCTCTTCTACTCTTCCTCTATACGATGGTCTTCCTGGTACGATCCCAATGAGAAATGGGTATACAATTGGTTATGTTCTTCTACCCATATATAAAACATTTAAGAGGGGAATACAAGTGAATATTTTTATAAGTATTTCAGACCCATTTCCATTCTCTCAAACCTTTCAAAACCGTTCGAAAGAATATTCCATCCACAGCTTAATACCTTCCTTTAGCCAAAAGCTCTCCTCAATCCCCTCCAGTTCGGATCCCATTTCTCCACCCAATCCGCTTTGTTGAAAATCACCCAAGACGTTCATTTTCCCAAAGACAAACAAAAAAATTTAATCCAGATCCTCATTGAATATTCAAAATCCGTCGATTACGTTAATTATTAAGTCCTCCTTTCCAAAATCGAAAACCTTTCCATATAAACTAGCGTCCTAAAGTATCACTGATCCCAAACAGTCATTACTCCCAATAAAATTCCTTCTTCTCCCCTCTGACTAACTCGTGGTTTTCCTAAGGGATCTTCATTCTCTCCAACTCTGTTCTCCATGTACGTTAACGACCTTCACGATTCCATCCATCATTCTCAATACCACTTATATACTGACGGGCTCCAAATCTATCTTTCATTTTATCCTACTGAGATGCTTGAGGTGATCCGAAAACTACAAGAAGATATAAACAGTATTACTACTTGGGCAGCGACTAATGATTTACAGTTGAACGTTGAGAATGGACTACTCTATTTGTTTCCATACTTTTGTTAGAAATCTTGGAGTAATTTTCTATCAATAACTGTCCTGGAACAATCATCTATCCCAAATTACCCGAAAATCTATTGTTCCCCTAAAACAGCTCCTGTGATTCCTTGATTTTACGGCCTTAAAATCCGCCAACTCCTAGTTTCCAACTCCTCACTCGTCTTTCCCGGCTTGAGATCAGATTGAAGAGATTAATGAATTGTTTCATTCGATTGATCTTTGGAGTCCCCAGGCGCTCCCACGTCTCCAGTTGCTATGCCGAGTTGAAGAGGCTCTATACAGTTTTCCGGAGGCAATATTTCCAAGGTTTATTCATTTTCCTAACCTTTACAAGCAAAAAGCCATCTCACCTTCTTGATTTGTTTACTCCTTGTTCCTCCGTTCATTAGTTTAACATAAGACCCCCAACTCGCACTAGCGGATCCAGGATTTAATTTTGGGGGGGCTTCAGCCCGAAAGCTTTTTTTTTCCATAAAAATTACGATAATTACTTTGGAAAAAAAGAAAGAAACTAACTACCTGTATGAAATGGTGTTTAAGTGATTCCTAAAGCCCTTTTAATATCAATCATACGAACAATAATACTTTAAGAGTTACTTTTTTAATATTTTGTTCGATAAAACATGGTTATATTTTTCCATTTGGGGGGGGGGCTTCAGCCCGAAAGTCCTCCCCCCCTCCCCGTAGATCCGCCCGTGCCAACTCGTATAAATTAAGAACAAACCTGTTTGTTCTCTCTCATAATTATCATAACCTCATAACCGTTTCCTTTAAAATCCTTTATCATTAGCGCTATCCTTTTTTTTTTTAATTCTTGCCTACCTCTATACGCTAATCCTCTTCCTTAACCTTATTTAAACAACATTTATTCTTTCACCTTCTTAGCAATCTTCCGAATACATGTAAGAATAAAATTTCGTATTTAAGAGCTGTTACCTTCAATTGAATGTTACCTTACTGTTACTTATATATTATCAATATTGTGAATCAGAACAAATATGTGAACATACTCATATATATTAATGTACAAATTAATACGTTTAATTGTACTTAATTTATTTTAATTTTAAGGTTAGATTATTATGTTAAGTTAATAATTATTTTTTTTTTCTTATGATGTCAGACAATTGTCATATTTCTGTTTATTAACTGTTTAAAATTGAAAGTCCTGATTCAAATGTTTACAAATCAAAAGTTATGAAACTCTTAAATAAGTAGGAAGTTTAAATTGGACAAGAATTTTGTTTTTAATTTTACATATTAGTTATTTACTATATATTGATCTGTGTACATAAATTGTAAATGAAATTAAAAGAAAAATAATTTAACTGTCCTGAGATTGATGTTCCATTAGAACAAGTTATAAATACAAAATAGATAAAACAAGACAGTGTGGCCATACATTAATGTTAAAATTTACAAAATAATATGTAATTAAAAGAGGAAAAAATTGTATCCATATATAAATAAACCGAACAGAGATTAAGGAAATAAATAAAATAGTAATGTAAATAAGTATGGGCTATAAATGTCCGAAATAGGAAATGATCATGGAAGAGTAGATTCCGACAGCAAACAAAACAACCAACCAAACAATGGAACAGGAATAGAAGATATCCTATAGAACAAACCTGGTGAGAATCACAGCGTTCGTCAGTGAAAATCAACTCAAAACTGAGTGCATCAGTGAATCCATGAATCGAGTAATTCCTAATGAATCGATGAATCGACAGATTCACCGTAAATCTATAGTTTTTGAGTGAATCGACCGATTAAAATTGAATCACTTGAGAGTAAGGTTCTTTCAGAGGAATCTACTCTTTGATTCGATAGTCGATCCACCTACCCATCTCTAATAAAAAGTATAAGATATCATTATTAATATGGTTGTTTATCATTATTACTAATGTTATTTTTTTTAATGAAATTTACAACTGTATTACATAGAAAATACAATATTTAAATGTGACATTGGTAACATGAAGAGAAACTACCAATTGGTAAAACTGAAATTAAAGTTCTATATTAGAAGGTCCCGAGACCATCTTCTTTTCAGACGCCTCGGAGGGTTATCAGGGATCGAGGAGGAAGCAAGGTTTGAAACGAGAGGATTCGGATGGTTCTGCAGTTTGTTATGGAAGGATAGGTATCTGGATTGGGCCAAATCGGAAACATATGGAACATTAAGGTCTTTATGGATGATTTTATTTGTGACAAAGTAAGGAGCGTTAAGGATTTTACGAAGGATTTTGGATTGTAAGGATTGGATACGAGAGGAATTCGATGGTTTAGTGGAGCCCCAAAGCTCAATTCCCTAAGTCCAAATAGGTCTTATTATTGTCATATATATCAGTCGTTTGTAATTGATTGAAAGCTTAGAGCGTTTGTCTAGTAAGTGATGCAGTAGTCGAAAAGGTCGGGCGGTTTCTGGTCGTATCAGTCTGGTATCGGGGTGAAATAAAAGATATTAAGTTTTGTTTTATATGTAGACGTTTTTCAGAAAATTTAGCATCTTAATTTTAATTTTTTTCATTTTTTGGACCCCTGATAAACGGTGTAAAAGTCCTGATCCAATTAAACTGAAAAAGTAAAAGCAGGATTCTTTTCACTAAAATGTGCCTGACTTGGAGTATATTTTTCCAGTATAATATGAACCTATTCTTATGCATTGGGGTAACAGTTTGCCATTGTTATCATATTCTTCTAGTCCCGGATTCGAGTGAATAGGTTATTATTTATTCTGTTACATCAGGTGTGGTTCGAGCTTAGGTTTGGTAGAACATTCTGGGAGACTCCTGGTATATATAACCGAATGCTCCCGGATTATCCAGTGAGTTATAAACTCATGCCAATAGAGAACGTGTGCAAGAATACTTCTTTACGTTCGTGGTTGTGCATAGATCTTGCAAAATCCGCCAACCGGGAGCAATGTATAAAAGCTGAGGCAAAGATTGATGTCGACAGTTTATCAAAATGAAGCTCTTACTGATCCTCCTGGTGTTAAGTCTTCTCCATTACTCCCAGGGCAAACCATTGGGTAAACAATTGAATGTATTTCAATCTATATTATTATAATTTGGCAACATTCATGCTAAATGAAGGATTGCTTTAACGGAAAAGAATCTTCAAAAATGTAAAATGTTGGGTGTTAGATAGTGTCATCAAAAAAACACTTTTTTTTTAAAAGACATATTGGCGAATTGTTTCGGCACTATAGTAATTTGATAGAAGCTTTTATAGACCACCGAATAATTGAGCACTTGGTTGGTAAAAATCGTGTAAATTTGAGCTGAAATAAAATTCAAGTGATGATAAAGCTATATGAGATCGAGATTTTGTTTTTAAATGAACAAAACAGATTCATATTTAGCTAAAAATTTGATATAAGAATACGTCTTGGAGTGGTGGTGACGAAAGTTGTGGATAGAGTCCAAAGAAGCGTGACGTATAAGGCAGACAAACGCGACACTCTACTTTTGTATAGGGGACCCTACAGGTCAATCGGAATTGCACTAATGACGTTCCGAATTGTCATGTAAGGTAGTGAATGAAGTACTGATGGTGGTGCGCTGCGGATTTCCGAAAATCAAAGGTTCATTCACGAGAAGTGGAGGGGAGACCGACTAAACATATGGGCTGGGGAGACCAACTATACTGCTGGATAGGTTAGGTTACCTAGGCCTCACAACCATTATAAATTTCTGATTTTCATTATATGTAAATAGTTAAATAATTTTTCATATCCCTTGTTTATAATTTTAAACCATCTTCAACTATTTCTTTTAAATAGTCAAGTGGGCAACAAATTAAAAAAAAAATCAGGAAACTTCACAATTTACTTTAGGAAAAAAAAAACATTATCGTTGTGTATATTTATCAGTTCTTTTCCCATTTTCCTCAACAAATTTATTATTTTCGCAATACCTTTCTTCCCTTAATTTTTGTAAGTAGTAGACTTATATTTTACTAACTTTTGTCAAAACGATTTTCTATGAGACTACTACTAGAAAGGTTAGTTTACCTAGGTCTCGTTATTAAGTAAATAGTTGTTTATATCCCTAGTCTATATTATTATTAACCATTTTCAACTATTTTTTCTTTAAATAGTCAAGTAGGCAATAAATTGAAGAGAAAAAAAAGTGGAAACTTCATAATTTACTTATAGAAAAAAAATCTTTAACTGTTTTGTTTATTTGCCATTAATTTTTCCATTTTTCTTAATAAATTGATTATTTCAGCAATACTTTTCCTAGATTTTTGTATGTAGTTGACTTATATTTTTCTAATTTTGGTCTAAACGATATGCTGGCACTAGCAAGTAATTATTATATCTCCGTTTTTCTCTTGATGCCCAATATTATAAATGACAATGTCCAAATAAGCATATCTATGCTGTTTCTTTGTTTACAACGTAGATAAATTGGTAACAGTAACGATAAGTAATGAACAGTAATGATTGAACGTGTAAGGGTCTTCCTGATCAAAGCGACAGCCGGCAATCTTGGAACTTCTTGTGACGTTCATTCATGAATTACCGTGTAAGGTCTGCTTATATAAACATGCATTTATAAAAGCTAACGTTAAAACATGCATTTATAAAGTTAAAACAAATTTTAACTAAATTTTTTTTTTCAAAAACAAAAGGGTGAGAGAAAAAACCGAAAGATATTTGTTTGATGAAGTCTTGAGGCTAAAAACATTATCCTAAAAAAAAAAAGTTTAAGATTATCCACCGTATGAGCTATGCGCTGCAAGGTTATGACGTACACATGTCTCAGGTGACGTAGCTCCGTTCCTAATAATTTTAACGTTAATTTTCTTCAAAAATGTATCAGAGTAAAGAAGTAATTTTTTCATTGTTATTTCTTATCGAAGAATGTAATTGAAAGTCCATGCCAGAGCCCAATCAGTATTTTATATTGATTAAGTTGAAAAAGTTTTGCACAAAATGTTCTCATAAACTATTTAACCTCATTCAATGAAAGTATGATTAAATGAATAATTGAGTATGTATTGAAAAATATTTAATTTTTATTATATTTAACACTCAATATTTTAATTTCCATTTCAAAGAACGGATTTTGCACATTAAGTCTAAAAGTTGCATTTTCGGTTTGGTCATTTTATTAAATGTTTCCGATATGCTTATGTATTCTCGTTAATTAATTCATAAACATGTGGTTGATTTCGTAATGTCATTTCTATGAATTACCCGTTTATTTTTTCCGATTGTGATTCAGGTAACATAACTATGTCTATTTCTTACAGTTAGCTCTGCTGGAGCGTCAGTGGATAGCGAACTACTAGCTGGAAATGGAGGTTTAGGAGGTCTGAATGTGATTCCAGGGATCCAGTTGTTTCCATCATCCCAGGCAGGTGCAGAGGCAGAGGCGCAAAGTAAGGTAGGAACCGACCTAGCTATGGGCGGCTATTTAGGTACACCAGAAAACCCTGGAGCAACAGACAACTCTAGATCACAGATCCAATCAGCATTAGGACTTCAACCAAGTGAAACTTTTCAACAAGGAGGAGTTCGAACAGCTTTTAGCACTAACAAGTCATCAATTAGTGAATCAACCGAACACAGCCAGGCACAAATCGTAGGTAGTGGATTACTAACAATTCCAGTGTCAGTAGCGGTCAAACCAGCAGAAGATGCTACCGCTGCATCAGCTCAAAATGAAGTTCATAATTCAGCAGCTTCAGGATTGCGTAAATCAGAATCATTAGGAGTGAAAACACAAGCTCAGACTGCAGCAGAACAACAAGACGCAAAGCTACAAGCTGGTGCAGGAGCCAATTTAGCCCATGCTACTCAAAAGCAAGGACAAGTTTCAAAAGATAAATCTGCTTCTGATGTCCAAACTAATGCAAATGCACAAGGGTCAGCTGTATCAGAAGTCAGTGGATCAGGATCCTTGAGAATAAAAACACAATCTCAATCGGCATCAGAAGCTACAAAAAGAGCAGAACTCCAGGCTGGTGCAGGAGAAAATGCTGCTCAAAAACAAGAGAAAGTTGTAGGAGATAAATCATCTTCCAGCGTCCAAACTAAAGCTAAAGCACAAGATGCAGCAGCATCAGAACTCAGTGAATCAGGGTCCTTGGGTGTGAAAACGCAATCTCAAGGCGCAGCAGAAGCTCAAAAAGGAGCAAAACTACTGGCTGGTGCAGAAGCGAATGCTGCCCATACTTCTCTAAAACAAGGTATAGTTTCAGAAGATAAATCAGCTTCCAGCGTCCAAACCGAAGCCAAGGCCCAAGCGGCAGCAGCATCAGGACTAAGTGGATCAGGATCATTGGGAGTAAACACACAATCTCAAGCCGCAGTAGAAGCTCAAAAAGGAGCAGAACTCCAAGCTGGTGCAGAAGCGAAAGGAGCCAAAGCCAGTAAAAAACAGGGGCAAGTTTCAGAAGGTAAATCGGCTTCCAGCGTCCAAAGTGAAGCAAAAGCACAAGAGGCAGCAGCATCAGAACTCAGTGGATCAGGATCTTTGGGAGCAAAAACACAATCTCATTCCGTAGCAGCAGCTAAAAAAGGAGCAGAACTACAGGCTGGTGCAGAAGCGAATGCAGCTCATGCTTCTCAAAAACAAGCGAAAGTTTCAGAAGGTAAATCGGCTTCCAGCGTCCAAAGTGAAGCAAAAGCACAAGAGGCAGCAGTATCAGAACCCAGTGGATCAGGATCTTTGGGAGCAAAAACACAATCTCATTCCGCATCAGAAGCTAAAAAAGGAGCAGAACTACAGGCTGGTGCAGAAGCGAATGCAGCTCATGCTTCTCAAAAACAAGCGAAAGTTTCAGAAGATAAATCAGCTTCCAGCGTCCAAACTGAAGCCAAAGTACAAGAGGCAGCAGCATCAGGACTCAGTGGATCAGGATCGTTGGGGGTAAACTCACAATCTCATTCCGCATCAGAAGCTCAAAAAGGCACAGAACTACAGACTGGTGCAGGAGCAAACGCTGTTCAAAAAGAAGGAAAAGTTTCAGATGATAAATCGGCTTCCAGCGCACAAAACCATGCTAAAGCACAAGGAGCAGCAGGATCAGGACTCAGTGGATTAGGATCTTTGGGAGTAAATACACAATCTCAAGCCGCAGCAGAATCTCAAAAAGGAGCAGAACTACAGACTGGTGCAGGATCGAATGCTGTTCAAAAACAATTACATGTTTCAGAAGATAAATCAGCTTCCAGCGTCCAAAACCATGCTAAAGCACAAGGGGCAGCAGGATCAGGAGTCAGTGGATTAGGATCTTTGGGAGTAGATATACAATCTCAAGCCCCAACAGAAGCTCAAAAAGGAGCAGAACTACAGACTGGTGCAGGATCGAATGTTGTTCAAAAACAAGGACATGTTTCAGAAGATAAATCTGTTTCCAGCGTCCAAAACCATTCTAAAGCACAAGGAGCAGCAGGATCAGGACTCAGTGGATTAGGATCTTTGGGAGTAGATATACAATCTCAAGCCGCAGCAGAAGCTCAAAACGGAGCAGTACTACAGACTGGTGCAGGATCGAATGCTGTTCAAAAACAAGGACATGTTTCAGAAGATAAATCAGCTTCCAGTTTCCAAAACCATGCTAAAGCACAAGGGGCTGCAGCATCAGGAGTCAGTGGATTGGGACCGTTAGGACTAAACACACAATCTCAAGCCGCAGCGGAAGCTCAAAAAGGAGCAGAACTACAGACTGGTGCAGGAGCGATTGCTGCTCAACAACAAGGGCAGATTTCGAAAACGGAAGCTCAAGCAGGAGCGCAATCTGGGGCTATGTTACAACCTGCAAGCCTCAACGCAGCTGTGATGCTACCTCTGCAGATAACTCAAGGTGGAATGCAAGTTAGTCAAAGTGAATCCAGCCATTCAACTAATTCTACCCAAGAACAACTCGTTTCTGGAAGTACTTCAACTGTGCCACTTACTGGAGTTGCGACTGAAGGCTTTGCTCCAATTGGTGCAGTACAGTTTGGAGGCAACGCTGGAGGTGATGCAGGTTTTGGCTTTGGTTTCTAAACGGAATTTCAATTGTAATAATTTATAATGTAACGAATTAAAAAAAAAAAGTAAATAGAACCATTTGCAAACCAACTGGCCAGTAAAGATTCTCTGAAACAATCTAAAGTTTTATTAAATTAGTAAAGTGTAATTAACATATGTTTTATAATGTCATCATACTATTAAGAAGTTAAGAAAAAGAATAAAGCCCGAATCGTTTTGATAAGGAACATAAACCCTGCAATTTAAAACTATCTTCAAAGAATTAAAATAATTATGTAAACAAAAAAATAATGTAAACGATTATAAATTAAAATATATTTCAAGGTTGTTCTTAATAATAATAGTTGACCACATTGTTGCTGTATTCCCTTAAAGAAAAGTACAATATTGTGTTTAAATCCCTGTTCTTAACAAATATATGTATGACAGAAAATATAAAGACGTTTATCGCTGTTGCAAAGTATATATTTGTAATTTACTGTCTTGTTTCAAACGAACTACTCAAAAATACAAATAAATAATTTTAAATAAATACCATTAAAACTAATCCTTAGTTAACGAGATACTTAAGTTTAGGGACTTGGTAAGTCCTGTCTTGTGTCTTGTACAGCGATCATGATAGGAAATAATCTGGTCTGTTAGGAACATTGTGGACTACCCCATCATCACTTCTATTGGTCAAGAGCCGCGCAAACATTTTGTACCAAATGTAAAATATGATTTTCCTGTTTTTTATAACATATATTTTGGTTAACAAGTTTAATTGTGCTGTTTGTACTCAATTTCTATTAATAATAGGTAATTTTTGTTTGAAAATAATAAGTTTTAGTTCAAATTCAGGATTTATTATGGATATTGTACTTATTTTGTAAATTTATATATACAGGATTTATAATTAAATTTGGATTTGTAAATAAATAAATATTTTTTATTTCTCACTGTTTTTATTTTAATGTATTTTAACATCCCTGTTTTGATAATAAAGAATTTTTCTTTGGTAAGTAAAATTGATAATAAATGAGTGATTGGATGAGAAAATGTCAAATAATTTTGAGGTGTGATAGAATTTATGTGATAAAAAAATACACACAAAATTGAACACTCTTGAATTAACAGTGCGTTTGGAAGGTATGGTAGGGACTTGAGTCTATTAAAAGCCAATAATTATTAGACAAATTTTCACACCCGTACATCTTTTACAAAACTTCAAAATAGCCGGAAAAACGATCATACACTTATCACCCAGCCATGAGATAAAAGAGGAAAAGCGAAGGAAAAGGCGAAAAATTGTCTCACTTGTATTTCTTTTAGCCTACCTAGAAACAGTCGGTAAATATTTGAATCATAATAAAATGATCGCTTGATCGCGAGGTCAAAGAGGAAATTCGAATGAAAAGTCGGAACATTTTCACCTTCACATATTTTAGACTTCCTCTTACTTATTCGAAAAATCGATTGAACGTTGAAATGCACATTTTTTTTTTTCTAACTTAGATTTTTTTTTTACTACCTCTAAACAGTAGAAAAATAAAAAGTAAAAATTACATATAGTTTGTAAATGAGTATACTTAGTAAATCAGTGTGTTGTGTTATTAAGAAAAAAAAAATGCTAGCCCTTTTTAGAATGGTGAAGAAATTATTGACTGGAGACAGTATGGTTTGAAAGTTTTCGGATCGTTATGAATATGATCGTTAGAAAAAAATATATACTCATCTTGCATGTTTCTTATAGAATGTAGTGCATAGTAGAGGAAAATATCGTCATTTCTTTAATGTCAATTATGGATGGACATAGAATAGAATGGAATAGAAAATAGAACTTTATTCTAGGACTATGCCCCCTTAGAATTACAAAGATGAATTAATACAAATCTGGCAAAAAACTAACTTATAAAAATCCTAACATATTATACATTATTTTAAAAGTAGTATGTAACCACTAAGAAATAAACAAAAAAAATATATACATATATATAAATACACGCACATATACATATACATACCTAAGTATATTTGAATAGCGCGCGTGGGTTCCTTCTCACACAGTAAACTCAATTTGTCCAAATTTGTTTTTTAGAACCTTCTCCAACCAAGATCATGAACTATCAAAGAGATCTGTGTAGGATGCAAATAAATTAGCATTTTGCTGAATCCGATCTATGAATGAAAGGATGGCATGAATGGTTGAATGGAAATTTTTGAAAAAAAAGGATGATGAAGATGGTCAAGAACTAGAAAATTAATTTAACTAAGAAGGGTTTATGAATTGATATTTCCATTGATTGATTGAATGGTGGAAATGACATCCATTTTGATGGCACCTATGTACTAGATAATCAATATTTATATTTTTTAAAATTTTATAATATCGGGTATCGATATTGCATGTGTCAATATTATGATGGCTGGACCATTTTAATTTATTTCTAAGACTTGTTATTTTCTTAGCTCATTTATTATTTAAAAAGAAGATATTCAATTTATTTGTTATACAAACAACGTTCAATAAAATTTATTTTTTTGTTTGGAATCCTGATTTATTTTACTAATCAAACAACAAGCCAAACATCAAAGGATTTGAAATATTACAACAATGCGCGTTTCAACTCAACAATATTTTTAATCCTTTGATGTTTGGGTTGTTGGTTGATTATTAAAATAAATTAGAATTATCCCAAACAACGCTATATGATAACAACATAATCTAATAACCGGTAGAATTTTTCATAAAAGGCGTTTCTGACAGCTCAATAATGAATTCTTAAGATTGAAGAAATAGAAATTATTGCCCAGAGATACAACACTTAGTGGGTTTTTTTAAATTAAATAAAACAAAGGAAATCAAGTAATGAAATAAGGGTATAATTGCATCATAGCTATTGCATTTTAATATCAAACACTAAAAAAACTTAAATAAATAAAATAAACTTCTATACAATATTAAATAAATGAATAAAAGAAACTATATAATAAATAATAAAATATAGAAAAAACAATGTATACCTTTTCATCCATGAAGGAATAAACAACTAATATATCCACAATTAGTGGGTCCATTTATTTCATATCGCTATAAGAACTTCTACGATTAAACATATGCATAACAACACATACCAACGTTTGTTTCTATGATAAATAGCCATAGCAACCGCTATTATTTTTTTATCAGCAGGTCACTAAGATACCAACAAGGTAGTCTCTATAGCAACAGCTGTTGTTAACTATATTCCGCTACACAAATAATGTGTCTTTAAATTAGTATAAGAAATTATTTATGATCTGTAAAGTAATCTTAGTATATTCATAACGATCTGCTAACTTATTGCTTCTAAAATATTCTTAAAATATAGGTTTGAATTTGACTAACAATTCTCGATTTTTTATAATTAAATTATCATTACGAGTTGTAAGTTGATTTTTTTCAAAACAATACTAATTTAGTTAAGATTACCTCCATACCTTTGTATGACGTTATAAACGAAGAGCGCAATATTTTGTTTATCTTTCGAGGCTAACCCTTGCCCGCGTTGGTAGCATATTCTTGTAACGATGCATAATCATGAACATGAAGAATGTATTCTATTACACGTTCTCCAGTACCTTGCAGTAAACGAATTTCAATATGAATTTAAAATAGAAACATTTTAATGAATAAAAATAAGGTTTCAAAAAATATAATACAAATATATGAATTATATGGTCGAAATTCGACCATAGCCATTAAAAATTTGAGGAAAACATAAAATTACTTAAAAAATAAATTCAATAAATAAAGAGTAAATCACGATTCAAAAATCCTCATTTATTAATATAAACAAAATTTCAATTAAAAATCGAGCTTAAATTACTTAAAATTATTTATAAGTAATACAAAATAGACTCATTCAAAATATTTAATTTCCATTTTAATTTATATGTGTTATTATCACAATAAATTAATGATATGATTAAGCAAGTAAAAAATAAATTGAAATTAGCAATTTCAACTCAGTTTAAATCCATTTTTATGCAGAGCTTCTCTATAAACAATGTTATTTTATTGTTTAGTACTTAGCCTTGCCATTGGAAATATAAACTTCAAAATCTTAAAGGAACGTGCTCTACTTGCTGCCACATATAATTGTTCATGTGAAATTACTGGACGTCGCAATAATACACAAATTTTTCCAAAACTTTGACCCTGCGATTTGATTATGGTCATAGCAAATGCAGATATTAATAAGTCATATTAATAAAATTCGAATGGAAGTATTGTCAGAAAATATTAAATTAATTCATGGAATTAAAATTCATTTATTTAAAGTAGCTCCCGTCAGTAGTTCCCTCTCATTCGTGAGCCATTAACTAATGCTTGTTCAGTATTTACGTTAAGAATGAGTATAACTATGGAATTTATTTTTAAATTTAATTTATGAGGTAACATTCAATGATATCATCTCTTCAAATAATATTCCCGATTACTTCACTAAATGTAAAGTTTTCGATTAATCAAAAACCAAAATAAAGAAAATCGACTTTGCAAAAGAAAAAGTACTAAATGTTTAAAATTATATATCTCTGCAACAAATTGTCGTGTTTTGATGATTTTTTTTTATTTTGTAGGGAATTCAGAAAGCTGTCATATAAATATTGGTATTATCAATAAAAAAGGTGTAATTTTTGAGTAATTCGCAAATAAAATACTGAATTCATCATAAAAATGTATGCAGCTTGTTTTCGGGAAAGTATGTTATACATATGAATTGTAAATGTTTCGGATATTTCATTTCTCCTTTCACACAAGTACAATAAAATAGCTGTTTGTAGGAGTACAGATCGATGGAAATTGGAGAAGACTGACAAACGCCGAACTTTAATCGATTTTTGGAGATCAAGACGTCGTTCTGGGATTAAAACTTGGAAGATTGAGATGAGCTGATCATGTGGCTACAATGGAGAATGAAGCAATCCCTAAAATGATTATGGCAGAACCTCTCTACGAAACCAGAAGAAGAGAGAGACCATAACTATGATGGTGTGAGATGGTCAGATGGTGTGACAAGAGATTCAAGGTATGTCCTGGGAATCAGGAACTGGATGATGGCCGCACAGAGCAGAGACTGGAGGAAGCTGGTGGAGGAGGACAAGATTCGTCACCGATTTATTATTTACCGAGTTAGTTATTTAATTGTACATAAGCATAACGAGTTTAGTCAAAATCGCTAGAGCGATTTTTACGAAAATAGTAAAAACGTGTTAAATCGATGATATAAAGTGCACTTTCGTTTCATGATTTTTACGAAAAAGTTGCTGTAACATCCCAGGCATATACAAACCTTAAATACACAATTTAAGTTTCGTACGACTTTTCGTTTTTGAGCTAGACTGTTCTCACACAAATACACAGATCATTTTGTGAGACTTGGTTATTTGGACTCCGGGAACCGTTGAAAATCGGAATTCACAATTTTTCAGGATCGCAAAACTTTCCCTTATAGTATTTATAGGTAAGTGAAAATAAAAATTGCTGACTCCTTGACTCTAACCTCCCCTGTTCAGTAAATCAAATTTCTCATTCTGGTCGGTCTTCTTTGGAACCTGCTGGACTATTACAACTCCACTGTGTCGATTCCACAAGTTTACTTCAACATAACTATCCATCGCATCGACAAAGACGTTCTATACAAAATTAAAGATAATAAAATTTGCAATACGATTTATTAAATACGTTTTTCCGCTACCTCGCTTAGTTTCCGAGATATCCGTCCTCATCAAAGAGTAATTTAGAAAGAAATAAATTTGCCTAGTGTTTATTGCTATTTTTCGGGTTTCCGCTTATATCAGGAAAACTATCCATCACATTGATAAAAACGTTCTATAAGAAATTAAAGCAGATAAAATTTGGAACATGAATAACAATATACATGATACTAAACTTCTATTTTTCTTAGTAAAATTTACTAAAATGTAGTTACGAAGTTTTTATTGCCTACTATCGATAGGTCAAAAATTGACACACTAATTGCCTGTGGATAATTTTGAGATTTCATAAAAGGGATATTCATCCAATTATTCACTAATTTAATTTTCGAATATGTTGCATAATAATTTTTCGGAACCTGCTGATGAAAATACCTAATTATTGAAATATAATATCAGATCTAAACTACAGTTTGGAATATTTCATTTATCCTTTCACACAAGTACAATAAAGTAATTGTTTGGAGGAGTACAAACCGATGGAAATTGGAGAAGGCGGACAAACGCCGAAATCTTTTCCTTCTTTCTTATAGCGTTCGATATTTCTGAGTAAAAGGTAATGCTTTCAAAAAAGGAATTAAGCTCTTCTATATTTTTATGCTTCTGCGTCATTGCCTGCGACTACTGTTTCAAAATAGTAACGATAAATTAATCGTTACTATTTTAAAATATTATTTAATTCATGCTCATGTATTTATATTTTCATATTTCTAGGAGCTGCTGACAGCCGTGCTACTGAATATATTTTTTGTTCGTGATAATGCAATATTCATTTAATAAGAACTAGGTATCTATAAAAGCAAGGGCAAAAGGTTGGGGTTAGCAGTTGAGAAAAATGAAGGCTCTGTTGTTCTTCATATTGCTGGCTCTTTTCCAAAATTCTCGAGGACAGTCCTCAGGTAATTATTTTAAGTAGGCATGTTTTTAATGATTTTTTTATTTTATAACGAAATGCAAGAATTTCTTCGATTGAAGCCAATATTCCTGAAAAATTCGGATAAGCTCGTCCCTATCCATATGTAGGATTCTAACCTAACAGAGCCACCTCACCCATTTTTCTAATGGGACCGCCGCAGAATGGGTCGAGTAAGGAAAAATTCGCGACATTTATTTGAATCTGTCTAAATCTTTCTTCTTTTTTTATATAACTCCAAAAAGTATATAAACTGTTTGATTGATATGTTGTGTTTTTGGCGAAGTTTTCGAGAATATTTTAAATTGGCACGATGTACATTTTTCACTGTTATTATTGAATAGTTCAATTGAAAAAAAAAAAAATGATTTATCTGATGTCGATGAGTTTTCGCTTATTTGTCCCAGTGTGCACTGTCAGGAGTTACTTCATGGAGGGAAATGGCTATGGCTATGTGTCGCCTCATGGCACTAGCGGATTTAATTTTGGGGGGGCTTCAGACCGAAAGATTTTTTTTCATGTATATAACGATAATTAATTTTTTCTAAAAAGAAGAAAGAAATTAACTACCATTATGAAATGGTGTTTAAGTGATTCTTGAAGTCCTATTAAATGTAATTACACGAACAATAATACTTTAAGAGATAGTTTTTAATATTTTTTTCTATAAAACATGGTTATTTTTTACCGTTTTGGGGGGTGGGCTTCAGCCCGAAAGCCCCCCTCCGTAAATCCGCCTGTGCCTCATGATCATATTATTTCTTCATTAACCGTCGTCAGACATCAAGTACCTTCTTTCTTGAAAATAGTGACCATTCCTTGTCCTATATTCCGATTTCAATTTCTGTAGGACAACTATGGCAAATGATTTTCACTCCTCGTCATTTCTCCAATTGTTTTATTTCTACAGCGAAACAGATGCATGAAAAAAAAACGTGTTTCAGCGTTTCTTCGAGTCCTGAGCGTGCTGGGCATTCATGAGCATTAACCAGCTTAAACCATTATTAATATCCTCTAAAGCAACCTTGCCCGATCAACAGTTATGTTACGTGAAAGTCTAACTTCATCATTTCGAAGAAACCATGAACTAATATCAAGTATTAATCTATAGGTTTCGAAATAGACTGTATCTTAGCACTGTTGCCCAGCAGATGATGGTTATTTTCAGTACCTCTTCTATTAAGACTCAAGAAATTTGACTACAGGATCTTTTTTTCATGTCAGCTGGTAGTTGAACATTAAATACATCGCTATGTTCATAGAATATTCATAGAATTCAGTTCGAATTACTTGCTACCATTAGTGAAGTTCTGGGATAAACTGAGTCCATCCTATGTATATGATAGTGAGTATTGTGTATCTCTGGGACATAATGCTGTGATCGACATAAGGCTTGATAATTATAACATTATTGTGGCCCTCGCCCAGTGGCCCCAACCTTTTTTTTGTAACGAAACATTTAAAATCCAAGCTCTTGTATTTCCTTTCTAGAAAGAGCAGGATGATTCTCTTGAATATATATCCAAAAAATTTCAAGCCACGTATTTTTAAAATTGATTTATACTGTTATGTAGGACGCCAAAAAAAATTAAAACTTTCATTTTTGCTGAGAGAATTCGTTATCATGTTACCTTTACAAGATGGATTTCTCACTCAGTCGTATTTTTCTATATTGATAGTACCGGTACTGGTCCTGGTGGGGAAACTAGTCCGACGAATCGGCCCTTTTTGCCAAATCAGTTTTACGATTATAGTAAATGAAATTTCGTTCCAATAAAGATAAATATTCTCTTAAGATGGGAATTATTTCAATATGGACACGGGTGTTGCAGTTGCTAAAGCTTAATTCCGTGTTGTAAAAACTTTATACTTATTTTTTAACTATTGTTCATAAATAAACTTTTCAGAATAGAATCAAATATAAATTTAAAAAAAAACTTTATTCTGGTACTAATTCATATAAGAATAACAATTGTATACAGAAAAATAATGATTAATTCTTTATTATTTATTTTGTTGACTGATATTTGTAAGAGAAGCATGTTTTTTATTTCTATTTTTATAGGATTTGAATCCGTAGAAATAATACAAAAGGTGATAAAACAGTGCAAAATACAAATTTTCAATTCATTTAGTCCATAGGTTTAAGGTTTTAATCCTTTATGAGAAGAAAGAATCTATAAAACAATATAGATTCCTCTTTCATTTTAAGGTATTACAGTGTAAAATTTGAAGCTCCAAGACCTTAAATTTCAAGATGACCAAAAACCCGTATTTGTTACGTCAATATAATGTGGTCATGGGACTTTTTGCACGCTTCTGCGCTCATAGATTATAGTTCCTAAATGGTATTACAATAATTCTTGATAACACTGTAATTAACAAAAAAAAACTATTCTAATCTGTAATTATTGTAGGTCTCAATGGCGGAATTACAGCAAAAACAGAGGCAGGAGTGAATTCAAATGGATCATCTTCAAACGCTCAGCTAAAGCTTGGTGGAACTTCAAACAATGAACAACCATCTGAAGAGTCAGAATCAAAGTTAAAAACACAAGCAGAAGGACAGGTGGAGACAGATGGACAAACTGGAAATAATTCACAGGCATCTGGTGGAGTGAAAGCTCAAGCAGGTGCAAGTGTACAAGCAGGTTCCCCAGCATCTCAGCTTCAAGCAGAAGCGAATGTAAAAGAAGGCTCTAAGTCACCTCAGGCTCAAGCAGGTGCAAGCATACAGACTAGTTCCTCAGCATCTCAGCTTAAAGCAGGAGCGAGTGCAGTATCAAATGGTCGCCCACCTCAGAATCAAACAGGATTGAATGCACAAACTGGATCCAAGGCTCAAGCTAATGTGCAAACAGGATTCAGGCCATCTCAAGCTCAAGCAGGATTAAATGCGGAGGCAGGATTGAGGGCTCCACAGAGTCAAGCCGGAGGCAACTTTCAACCAGGATTCACTTCAACTCAGGCTCAAACCGGTTTGAATGCACAATCTGGATCTCAGTCATCTCAAGCTCAAGCAGGAGCAAATGTACAAGCCAGCTCCTGGCAACCTCAGACTCTGACAGGATTAAATGGACAGAGTGGATCCTTGTCTCCACAAGCTCAAGCAGGAGGAAACGTACAATCAGGATTCCCATCAACTCAGGGTCAAGCAGGGTTCAATGGACAGACTGGTGGATCCTGGTCTCCGCAAGCTCAAACAGGAGGAAACGTACAATCAGGATTCCCATCAACTCAGGGTCAAGCAGGGTTCAATGGACAGACTGGTGGATCCTGGTCTCCACAAGTTCAAACAGGAGGAAACGTACAAGCAGGATTTCTATCAACTCAGGATCAAACAGGATTAAATGGACAGGCTGGATCTTGGTCTCCACAGGCTCAAGCTGGAGGAAACGTACAATCAGGATTCCCATCAACTCAGGGTCAAGCAGGGTTCAATGGACAGGCTGGTGGATCCTGGTCTCCACAAGCTCAAACAGGAGGAAACGTACAAGCAGGATTTCTATCAACTCAGGGTCAAACAGGATTAAATGGACAGGCTGGATCTTGGTCCCCACAGGCTCAAGCTGGAGGAAACGTACAATCCGGATTCCCATCAAGTCAGAGTCAAGCAGGGTTCAATGGACAGGCCGGTGGATCGTGGTCTCCACAAGCTCAAGCAGGAGGAAACATACAAGTAGGATTCCCATCAACTCAGAGTCAAACAGGACTGAATGAACATCCTGGATCGTGGTCTCCACAGGCTCAAGCTGGAGGAAACGTGCAAACAGGATTCTTATCAACTCAGGGTCAAGCAGGATTGAATGGACAATCTGGATCCCAGTTGCCTCAGACTCAAGCAGGAACGAATGGACAAGCTGGATCTTGGTCTCCTCAGGGTCAAGCAAGTGGGAATGTGCAAGCAGGCTCCTGGCGACCTCAGTCACAAGCAGGATTGAATGGGCAGGCTGGTGGATCCTGGTCTCCACAGGCCCAAGCAGGAGGAAACTTACAAACAGGATTCTCATCACTGCAGACTCAAACAGGATTTAATGCACAAGCAGGATCCCAGTTGTCTCAGACTCTAGCAGGAGCTAATGGACAAGCAGGATCTTGGACTCCTCAGACTCAAGCAAGTGGGAATGTGCAAGTAGGCTCCTGGCGACCTCAGGCTCAAGCAGGATTGAATGGACAGAGTGGATCCTGGATGCCTCAGATTCAAGCAGGAGGAAACGTACAAACAGAATTGCTGGCACCTCAAGTTCAAGCAAGTGGGAATATGCAAACAGGCTTGCAAGCATCTCAATCTCAATTGGCATTGAATGGTCAGGCTGGGACTTGGACGCCTCAGTCTCAAGCCGGAGTAAATGCACAAGCAAGCTCTCAGCAACCACAATTTAAATCTGAATCAGCAATGGATGGAGTTGCACAGGAAACTGAAAGTGAACAGATTTATGCTGATACGTCAGCTTCAGGAAGGCCAGCTTTAGGACCTTCTTCTTGGCCTGCAGCTAATATAAATGTCAATTTAGGAGGTAAAGTAAATTTACAGAACCAGCAATCACAGGCACCGGAGAGGTTTCGTGAAGGACAAGCAGGCCTTAGTTCTTCTAGCCAAGCCAATACACAAACGCAAGGATCTGCTTCTGCGGGGTTATCTTCTAGCAGGCCAGTTTCTGGGCCATCTAGTAATTGGCAAAGTAATATTAATGTGGGAGTTCAAACTGGTGCAGCACAATTCAGTGGATTGTCTGGTGCTAATCAACCTTCTAGTTATCAACAGGTTCAAACACAAGGGTCAGCACAAGCAGGAATAGGATCGGATGAACGTTTCAATGGACAATCTGCAGCTCAAACTGAAGGACAGCTTGGAATCGGGACATCACTCTTAAGCAGACCGACTGCTGTCCGGCCTTCTACACAAACAAATGCTTATGCTGGAACCCAAACAGGACTGTCCTTACAAAACGGTGGATTCATTAGTGTTGTTATACCACCAAGCAATCAACCAACTCAAGCAGGACTCTCCTCAGGTGCTGCTAACCAAATAAATGCCCAAAGTCAAGGATATATATCAACCAGACCATTAGCTTACCGACAAGCGGCACAAAGTAACGCAAACGTATTAGCACAAGCTAATACTGCAGCTCAGGCAGGTTTAGGATTACAGAATGGTGGGTTCATTGGAATTTATATACCTCCAAGTCAGCAGCCATCTCAAGTACAGGGGCTAAATGATAAGCTGATGAGCTCAGGAAATGCTGCTGCTCAAAGCCAAGCATCCGGTGGAGCAAGCTTAGGGAGTAGAGCTTCTGCCAGTGGAATGCTTGGACTTGGCCTTGCTTTATAATTGCTTATTTGATGTTCTCAAAAGACTGGTTGTTTATAAATATACATTAATTCTTCAGTAAACTTAACACTTATTTCTCAATTTAAACCACAATGTGATACTCTTTAATAGAGGTTGATTCTTACTTTTTTTTTTATCAGAAAATTAAAAAAATAAAATAAAATGTGTTATATTTAATATACTTAATGTATTATTTAATACTTCGCCTTATATTCAAAAATAAAAAACTTGAGAACAGTTTAAGTACATCGAATTGATGAAATTGTTAACAAAATAAAGAAAGACCTTAATCCATTACTGACTGAACTGATATCATTTTTTTTTTAAATATGAGTTTGTTAAAACCACTCCCTTGTTCAAACTTTCTCATCCAATACCTTGGTTCAATTACTATAAAAAAAGCCTATAACAATTTATAAGACGTTTCGTTATTGCTATTTCTGAGTGAAGAGTGGTGCATAAAAGGATATCCAAAAGTGTGTTGTTAGAAATTATAATGTGACAATTATATATGTTACTATATTAGATTGAATATAAGACTTCTCAAATTTAAGACGCATATGTTTTCTCACCAAAGTAGTTGGGAATTCAGTAAATAAAATAATGAAGAAATAAAAGGAATTTGGGAATAAGTAAATTGTCTTAAATCATTATTTTTTTTTTAGGTATTCTTTTAAAATATTCGATTAAATCAAAACCTAACACAGATTTGTATTTATTTTAATTGTTTTCACTTTCCTTAAGTATTCATTTATTTCACTAACAGTGATAACAGATATGGTCGATTTATTACAAAAAGTCATAAAGTGTAATATTTCATTAATTTCAAATATATTTTTGTGATTTATCGTCCTAAAAAACCACTGTTTGCATGAAAATGATACACACCCTTTTATTTATCATATATAGATACATACAATAAGCACACAATTTTCTGATTTCACAATGGAAAAATTCATCAAAGTTCCTAATTATTTGAGATTAGATATTTGAGGTTATGAAATGTCACTTAATGGCTTTTTTCAATAAACCGACGATGTACTGTATAAATTTTGATGATTTAAAACAAAATTAAATACTTATTTTATAAATATTTAGATTTAAATTCTAGTCTTCAAATTCAAGAATCACTGTTTTAAAATCCAATTCTTTAAAAAAGTACATATTTCGTTTGATCCAATAAATATAAAAAAGTTGTGATATTGAAATATCATGGAATAGCAAAGAATAACAAAATGTTTAATGGAACAAGCCTGAGTTACTTAAATATTATTATGTGATAAATCCTGGCATATTGAACTTGACTAGGTATACAAGCTCATGGCTAACTCAGTAAGGAATTTATGAACATAGAACTACCTTCAGGGTAAAAGGAACATTAAAATAAAACTATATTGTTCAACATAATTTATATAATAAAGTGTAAAAATGTATATTTATATGGGAATGGAACATTACTAATGTGTTACAATTTAATTGTATAAAACAGCTAAATAGTAGGAAAGTGTATTTTGATTACTCTGTTTTCATAAATATATTATTGTTAAAACACTGCTGAAAAATACCAGGTTTACAATACAATAAGAAAACATTAGAAAAGAAAAAAAATAAGTGAACATTATTGGAAGACAACACAGTCAAAATACATCCTCGTAATCTATATATAAAATAATGAGTAGTAAAAATCATGTGGCACATTACAAAATACTGTGTCTTATGGAAATACTGTATTATAACATAGCTTCTTAGTAGGATCGAGTTTTATTTTCTTAATCTAAGAAAATAGGAGGCAAATCTATTAAAAACAACATTATTTGAAACAGGTGGGATTTGTTTCTAAAGATTTTGTATTATATTAATTATATTTAAATATTAATGGAGTTATGTGTTTTTAATTACAATTGTATAGTTGAAAATCATTCTGAATAGCACCCTATAATCAGTAAAAATCTCGTTTAATATTAAATACATTTTAATACTATCTGTAATAATAATAAGCTAAAAATTAAACAATTTTATACAAAAACAGTCTATTATTACGTAGATCCTATGCATATATGAGACTTTTACTCAAAGGGTTGAAGAAATTAGTGACTAAGTTAAATATTTAAAGAGCGATTCCACACTAGACTTATTTATAGAAAGAATATTGCTTTCTTTGATAATGTATATGTTTAAATATATATATTATGGTTAGTAGAATAGTTAAAAAATTTAGCTATTTCCTAATAAGGCTATTCATCAAATTAAAAATGGGTAAATACAATGCTATGTATAAAGTACTTGCTTAGGATTTTTTTGTGGCATCTCAGGACTAGATCTCAAGTAATATTTTTTGAGAAAATATTTGACAGAAAAATAATATGATTATTCAACAGAAACAAAAATTCCAAGTAAATTCAATGAGAAAAATATAAAAGGTCATAAAATGGAAATTCTCATACATTTTCAAAAGTATAAAACAAACAAAAAAAAACATGGATATAAAATATGAGATGATAAATGAAGATATAAGATGAGAGAAATAATAATATATAAAATGAAAGAATATTGAAATGTTTTAATTTTTTGCAATATGTAGTTTGAGTCTTAACTATTCCACTTACAGAACTCATTTTTTTTTTTTTTCCATTCCGATAAATTAATTTTCTTTTTCACATATTATTAATAGACAATTATACTAATGTTTTGATAATAATTGTTATTTCTATGATTGTTAAAGTTTTAAATACTAAGGCTAAGTTACCTAGTGTGAAAGACGCTTCGAGTGAAATAATTAATATTTCTTTTTTTATTGAATGTTAAAAAAAAATAATAAAATATAATTTTTGTTTGGAATATATATCTCTCCATCCAAAACTTTAAAGAGGAGTAGAGATTTGCTGAGTTGTCAACTATACAGGATTTTACAGTAAATTAAGTACAAGCGTTAAAAATAGCCAGTCTCAAGGGTTAGGGGAAAATCTGTAATTTAATCAAATGTACATCTTTCTTAAAAGTTATATACATTTTCCTCGTGATAATTGAGCCTTTGTTTGGTACTCACTCGAAATAAGCAAATTCAATAAAATTATTCATATTGTTTATATAAGATTTTTTTTTTAATATTTTAGATATCAAACAATAACATTTTATGTACAAATGAATTGATTCATGAATATAGAAAAAAAAATTTAACAAGGAACACAGCACACAGTTTAACTTTTTACTGACCTGCAATAATATATCAATATATTTATATATATGTATCATATAATGACAATTATGAAAATATTGGCAGCGAATATATTTATATAAGTTAAAATTAATCGTTAACATTGATAAATCAGTGCAAAATGATAAAATATGAAAAATAAATAAACTTTACAGATTCTTTTACTAAAAATTTATTATTTATAAGAATACCAACAAATAATGAATTTAAATTTATTATTTTTGCACTTATATATCGATATTAATCTTCAAGCTATACATTGAAATAATTATTTTTTTAATTTGGTTCTACAATAAAAAATAATGGCACATAATCTAAATAATTTTCAAAAGAGCCCTACCTAAGATATACAAAATTATTATTTAAATAAATTTAACAACTAAGCAATATATTAATACAATTTTCAAATAAGAAAACTTTTTTCATATTAATGTAATCAAGTTTTATTTTTTAATGATTTTTAAATTTAAAAATAATACTGTTTCCCGAAGCGAGGGATAAATATGTAAAAACTATATCTGAAATAGACAAAGCTTTTTTTTCTCAGACTAATGACGATGATTTATTCAGTGTGAATATTATAATCATGATATTTAAAAAAAAAAAATAATAAGTTGAAAAAAATATATCAATTTTATTTAATTTATGAACATGTTTTAAATTAAATTTTTTTTTTTTAATTTTCAACCTCCAATCTCAATTAAGTACAAGCATGAAATTTATGGATCATATCCTTGGAAATATCACAGCTGTTATTACAAGAAATATTGATATGAATAAGATTTTTAATCATCAGTAATTCCAATTAACAAAACCTTTTGATGAAAAAAACTGAAGAAAATTTTAAAGCAATTTAATCTCTCACTTCTACAATCATTAAATAACAAGGAATATACTAACAATTTTCCACGCCCAATAATGGACAAATTTTCCTGAAATATAAAAAAATATAGTCTCATATATTTTTCACATTCAGGTATTTGTTCATTATGAAAAATCTTCATAAGTTGGTCTAATTAACATATTATCATAAAGCTTATAAACTCAACAAGATTTCATATATAAATATATTCGCATTAATCACAACTTCCAAATTTCATCTTTGATTTGTGATAAATTTATAATCGAGACAAACGTTTTTCATTTTTAAATGATTTCCATATAATCAATAAAAAGCATCAATAATGTAATATATTATTTATAGGCATATAACATAATCTATTTTTAAAATATTGTACAAATATTTTTAAAAAAATAAAAACACCACTTTTTGAAAGTGGTTAAAATTGTATGGTAATGTAAACAGCTCGTTGGTATAAAGCTGATACAGAATATTTTGCCAAGTACTATACATATATATCATTTTATTTATTTTTTTAAATTCCATAGCCAACAAACAGGTATAGCTCCCAAAATTTCTAAAAAAGGAGTATCACATAATATAAAAATTTGATCAAAATTCTGAATATATTTCATAAAATTTTTAAATTAAATATAATACACAACAATTAAATCACAGAATTTTATTAATTTTTTTATTAATATTATCATACAACTTCAACACCTTGGCAAACAAAGTCTTATACCCAAACGAGCGGTTTCACCATTATTATAGAACAATCGATATATTATAAAAATTATATAGAGTAATAAAAAAAATTAAAAACGAAAATAAAAAGAATTTAACATTTTTTTGTTCTTTTTTGCACAATGTAACATATTTCATATGAGCTCATGAGGATTTTATAAACCACTCAATAAGCTATTTGTATGTACTTATAAAATATATACACAACTGAAAGAGGATGATTGGGCGATTTTTTTTTTTTTAAACATAAACAGTAAAACTAAGAATTAGCTTAAATTAAATTGACGTCCATGCATAAGTACATGATATTCATTCGTATATCTGATCAGTGTAGCATGGTGGACCTTGATATGAATCCGCCGCGACAAGGCACATTGAAGCTGCTCAACCTGTCAATAAATAAATTTTAATTAGATGACCAAACGAAAAGATAAGAAATACATTTATCAAACTATTATAGATATATATATTTATATATTTTTTTCCATTACCCCCTATATCACCATGTCTGGCATACGGAGGGATTGTTCAATAGGTACTAATATAGAGTATAAAATGAAATAGAGTGAGCATGGAGGGAAGAGGGAATATGCCCAGGTGCCCCCACTCTCATGGTACCTACGGGTATTTCCGCTGAAGAAATTTTCCTTGCTTTTAACCACCATTTAAGATTTAAACCATCTGATTATTTTATTATTTATTTGTTTGTGATCAAATATTATTTCTACGGGGTTTAATTGCATTTTACAAAATGAGTAAGAGGGTAGCATTTGGTTTTACAATCAGAAAGAAGAAGAATATTTATTTGAAGGCAAGTTATTAATAATCAAACGTTGCCTATCATTAAATCGTTCTTTAAAATTTTTATCTATATCCATACTCAGAAAAATGTAAAATCGAGTACATAATCTGTTCTTTCTAACGATTTTTCAAAAAGAACCATCATCTGACAAATATTTAGTAAGTAAGAACTATAAGATTCTACACCACAAAATAAAATAAAAACTATAGTTTTAAAATCTGTAACACATTTCTAATTGACAATTGTGTCAATTATTGTGTTGCTTAATATTATTATATCCCAATTATATTATTGTTTGACCATTTAGGCGAATATTTTTAATTTTTTTAGATGATGTTGCAGAAGATAAGTCAGATTTATTAGAACCAATTGTTGTGAGTTTAGTTCTTCACGTTGTCAAGTTATTGCAGTTTAGATCATTGGCAGTGTATTGTATAATACTCCATCTGTGAGAAACATATTACTTATGATAATTACAGACATTGGTTGATAAAATATATTGGTAAAATTTATTTCAAAATTAGAACAAGAAAGCATGTAAAAGACCAAAATCAAGATATTGAAAGTCGAAAAGTGAGACAAAAATTAAAAAAAATTACAAAGTTTAAAATAATTTATCTATATGCTTCATAAATTTAGGTAATGTATCTTTTTTTATTTTTAATTAAATCAATATTTTTTTTATTGAAATTAAAATGCTTTATTGGTTCATTTAACTTTCAATACTTGTATTATTTGTTCCTTTCCCTCAATTTAATGTAAAAAAAAAAAAAAATGTAGCTATTATTCTTGTGTTTGTTCTTTAATGTTTATAAATCTGCAAATGTTTTAAGAAAGCGAATCCAGAGTTATAGAAAAAATTGACAGAACTTTCAATTATAAAATCAAAGCCAATAAATATATGAGAATTTCTAAAAGTAATGCCATTTTTACGATAAATGATTTCATTTAAATTTTTCAATGATTAATATATAAAATGTTTTAGCCAAAGGATAATATATTTTTTTTGTTTATTCATGCTTGAGAACCACGCTAAGATACCTTGAAAACTAAGGGAATCATGTAACTTCCAAGATGAGTACCTACATAGTTAAGGGATGAGAGCATATCCTATCTACTATTCCAAAGGATAGAAGGCAACTCTGGCATATTCTATTCTCTGTGGGTACAACCAAACCTATTCTAACAAGAGTGGGAAGGTCGAGATTCATTCCATGGGTCTGTTACAAAATAAATTTCAACTCGCACAGGCAAGATTCGAACCAGCTTTACTAGACTAGAAAAAGCTAAAGTTTATGCTTTCACACGTTCGGCCATCACTAACTCTCGAAAGATACTGTAATGTGATCAGGAAAGAAAAGAAAGTAAAAAAATAAAATATTAAATTGTATTATTGGTATTTACCTGACGTGATCAGTGGTCACCCCTCAACAGTTCCATGAGCAGATTGAAACTGGGTCCTTCTCCCTCCTTGCTTTTGATGGAAAGCATTTCTTTACCAACCTAAACAATAAACATTAAAACAATATAAATATTTATAATAATACGAGGATATATTATTTAAATTAAAAATAATAAAGGAAAATTTCTTGTTAAAAGTTTAATTGAAATGACTAGTTCAATGGCGAAGATATAAAAAATAACTTATGGGATTGGAGATATTCATGAATATTTTAATTTTTAAATGATTGTTATTTAATTTTATTAAAATGAAATGAAAGATATTTTTATTCTGGTACTAAAGTCCAATAAGAATAATGACAAAGTTCAAGAAATATGTACATAAGTCTGACATATAGAAATAAAACAAATAAACAAAAAATAAAATATAATTAAAATTAAAATGGTACTTGTCAATTAACTGTTAATAAGCAATTTTAATTACAAAATCTAAAAATTCTTACATGGTTACGAAAGATTGAATATGAATAGGTGGTGAAATAGGAGTTGTTTAACAGAATTTGTGGGTGAGGATTTATGTATGGTGATGGGTAAGGAGTTCCAAAAGGAGGTAGCATCAGTGATGAAGGAAGTGGCATGAATTTTATTGGAGGAGACATATAGATTTACAGGTTGAGGACAGGGTGGCTGAGCGGATTAATGCATCTGCATACAGTGTTGCCCGGCAACCCGGATCTATTTTTTTTTTTTTTTTGGATCTTTCTTTCCTTGCCTTTTAGGCTACATGGGGTTTTGCCCGGACCGTGGGAGGGAGACTGGCATCAATCCCCCGCCCTCACTCCCTGGCCCAGGAAAACTCCATATAACTAAAAATGCGAGAAAGGAGAGGACAAAAAAAAGAAATGTTGAGATTTGGCATTGAGTAGGTGGATTGAGGAATGTACAGTAAGGAGTTCTATGATGTAGGAGGATTTCTGGTTTTGATGATATGAAAAAAGAAAACATCAAAAAGGAATTAGGCCTCCTCAAAGTCTCTTTTATTGTTAACCTTAGTAAATTTAATCACTGTTTTCTCAATAAAAATGTTGTCAATTGTATGATAGTATACTTAGAATTTAATTATCTTGAAGTTTTTGAGCAACTCCTTCTGATTCAATAAAAACTGTGACAACCTTAAGAAAACACAAAATTGGACTTGAATCTTTTTCCATTTGGAATCGGCCCATGCATCAAATGAACTTTTTTGTTGGATATTTTTTCTAGAATCATCCCCCAGAGTTATACCATTACAAACTGAGACAACCTGTATACACTGGAGGATAGGCTCAGAATTCGGGAGTTCAAGATTTTCAGTTAAGAGATTACTTCCAATATCCATTAAATTCAACAAATAAACAAATGCGGCAATACACATAATATTACTATTATTTTAGAAGTTCACTGCCTAAATTAACTTATAAAAATCAAATTAAAATAAACTCAAAGATCTCATTTTCACTGTCGTTCAATTTCAATAGAATCAAAATATTTTTAAATTGATAGAAAATGCAATAAGTGTGACTTTAAAAGAACTCACCTGACAGGTTCTTTGTAGGTCTGGTATCCTAAGAAGTAGTTCTCCGAACTTGGACGGAATGTCTGGATAATGGGCGAGAGTGTAATGCTGCAGTGCTTGCAGCGCTTTTTCCTGCGAAGCTCTTACCTTCTCTGGTTCCCTTAATTCGCTTGTATCTGTGAAAGTATAAGATTTATTCATTAATTAATTATTATTATTCTTTAATATTGGTAATATATTCTAGTACATATCTCTTAGGAAACACGGGGGGAGGGAGGAAAGGTAAATAATATATTTGATTAATTAAAAGTTGGCTTGTATGAATAATTCGCATAGTAAACTGGTCAGTGAATAAATGATAAAATAAGACTGAAATAAGTTAATGCAATGTATTATGAAATGGAGAAATTAATTTTCTTTTTCTTGGTATAATTACAACAGTTCATTCATGTTAATAAACTAAGATGTGTACAAAACACTATAGGTTGTATCTTTGCTAATAATGATACAATTTCGATTATTTTATTTTTGTTTTGTTTTGGAAGGAATTTAGTAACCTTTTAAATAATCATGCATGTAATCTACCATAAATTTCCTTCAATTATATACAATCAATAATATTGACCATATAAGTGGCCCTTTAGGGAAATAGAAATACAGAAATGTAGCAATGTATGTAATTCGTGGATAAGTAAAAGAACTAGCTTTATTAATTTCTATTATTAAAAAATTAATTAGTTGTTAATAATTAACTGTTTCTTCTTACCAGAGGACAAGAGGACAATGACCTTCATAGCAACATATTCATAGCGGTCGACTCTCAGCCGCCTCAGGTGCTCCGTGAAGTTCAGCATCCGTTCGATTGGTGGGCCGAGGCCAAGGGTCCTGGCTTCGGGCAGCGTGATGCACTTGCCGAGGGACACCCTTATCTCACCCGGGGAGCTCATCGACCTGAAGCAGCACGAGAACAGAAGAAGTTCGCACCAGGCGTTGATGAGGAGTGAAGTCTGGTCATCGATCTAAAACAAAGATTAGCTTTGATTTTATTTAAACCTTTATAAGATAATAAAATACAGTCTAAATAAATAATTACTTTTTTGTTATCTAAAAAAATATGAAATTTAGAACCTATAAAAAAGACAATTGCCCGAAAAACAACATATGAAAACAGCCATTTTTTTTATATTGTTTTAAAAAAATATGTATCATAGAATAAGCAGCAAAATACTCTATGGTTGAATTTCAGTTGTATATTTTTTTCTTTTTGTTTTTCCCTTATTCAATAACCCTATGGAAGGATTATATATTTCTAAATGTCAGTTACCTATCATTAAAAAAGTATTAAAAAAGAGAGAAAGTTCATGTACCCTTTTTTTTGTAGAATATAAAAAAAAATTGAGTAATTACTAGTTGGCCAGTAGGAATAATTTAAAAAAAATATTGGTCAGTGAAAAAATAAAAAAATAATAAGAAAATTAAATAATTCAACCTATTATAAGATGAAGGAATTATTTCCTATTTCTTCAGTAATTGTAATCGACCAAGGAAAAGAAAAATATAAAACTTTATTCATATTTTAAACCAAAATGTTTATGAAAAACAATAACCTGTATCTCAGTATAACCTGTATCTAACAATACTCCAAATTTCTTGATTGTTTAAAAATTGTTTTGTAGGGAATTTAATAATCTTTCAAATGGTCATGGGTACAATCAACAAAAAAATGTATATTTTTAAAGTTATTCACAAATAAAGTTTTTTTTTTTCTTCATAACTTTTTTCCCTGTAGTTTCCGAGAGATGCGACTATTTTTCTCATCTGAATGAGAAGAAAATCTTCAAAATAAAAGTTCAATCATTGGATTTGATGAAGATATGGCCAGCAAAAAAAAAAAAAACACCTCTGAGAAATAATATATAAAAATAATGAAAAAAATAATACTTAAAATTATTACGCAAAGGTTATTCCCAAAAAATAAAAGTTTCAGAATAATTAAAAAAAATTATTTGGATTGAAATTTTTAAAATTTATATATATTGTATTTTGTAATAAAGAAAATCCTGGGGAGTAGGGAAAAAAAAAAATTGTTCAAATATTTTTCTTTTCTAATAAAGCTTTTGTATTGTTATTACAAAATTATTTTTCTTAAATCTTTATAAATAGCCATGATATCGATGTATGAAACGTCTAATCAGCCACAGTTTATAAAATAAATAATTAGTTGAATGTAATGTTGACTTCTGTAGATCGACATGTATTCCAATATTGACTATTGGTTCATTGAAATACATAAAATTATTTATATGTATGTATGCCACACCATATTATTTGAAATATATATTAAAATTAATATGTAAAAATAAACAACTTTAATATGAAAACGAACATTCTCTAATGACATTAAGATGCTTACAGATATGTTCTTGAAGAGCGGAAGCGACTTGCACCACTTGACTATCTTATAGAGGCGATGGTCAGCGATATTGCACAGGTTGGCCATGAGATCGGTCGAGTTGCCACCTCCACTACTCTGAGGGCCTCCTCGTCCGCCCCCTCTCGTTTCCCCCTCGTTGTACTGCCAAAGGTGTTCCACTTCCATAATTTCCTATAAAAATATTGAACAGGATATTAATTATAATTTACCTTAATCATGTATGATATAAACTAAGGCTAAATAAAATAACAATCTACACAAAAAAAAATGTTAGACTTTGCTGAACATTATCATAATTTTTTTCTTTAATAAATGGCAACAAGTTAAAGAATCTTAATACAAACTAGCTTAAAAATTATAAAAGATTGTTTTTTAACAATTTTAGTGATAATATTGTTCTTTTTTCAAGCAGCTCCAATTATTTCATAGTAGATTTAAGTTACTAAGACTTAGAGTTAATCGATGCATAATTACATTGTAAATACAACATACTATTAACAAAATTATGATATATGTAAATATAAAAAAAATTATTTTAATGAAAAAATACACGCAATTATAAGCAAGAAACTTAAGGGAGAACCTTGTGGGTGAAGCTTAGACCGGGAAGTTGCGCTCAAGGCAGAGAAAGTCATTTTTCTCTACAAAAGCCTCAAATCAATCTACACTACGTTTACCTTCTCCCTCTTCCAGAACACTGCATTTCTGTTAATATTTCTATAATTGAGAACTGCATTGGTCCCCATGAATAACATAATAATCTTTGTCCATGTAAAAAAAATAATAAAAATAAATAAATAAAAAACATTAAATTTAAATTTTGTTCAGCAAATCATTAACTTTAAGAAAATTTATCACCGAACTTACTTTAACTTCATCATTATTTAAAATATTTAAGTTTGAGAGAATAAAAAGCTTAATATATCTTGGGTCTGAAATAAATAGCAAAAATGACATGGCTCAAGAAATACAGAGAAGGATCACGGCTGCCAATAGATGTGTCTTTGGACTTGGCCGACACTTAAGAAGTAGGTATCTCTCAAAGAAGACCAAGCTGATTCTATACAAGACCCTTGTAAGGCCTGTTTTGACATATGGCTCAGAGGCTTGGACGATGACGAAAAACGATGAGATGAAGCTGAGTGTGTTTGAGCGAGAAGTTCTCAGAAGGAATTATGGTCCAGTAAAGGAGGGTGATGTCTGGAGAAAATGAAAAAATTGGGAGCTCAGTTCTCTTTATACAGACATCGACGTAGTCACATATATTAAACTTGCCAGATTAAGATGGGCAGGGCATGTGGCCAGAATGAGCATTGTTGAAATACCCAAGAAAATAATGATGGAGGAGCTGCACCTCGCAAGACGGGTAGGAAGGCCGAGGACGAGGTGGCTGGACAACGTGGCCTATGATACGAGAACTCTGTTTGGTGTACCGAACTGGAGAGCTGCAACAGAAGACAGAGTCAACTGGCGGTGGCTCTTGGAGGAGGCCCAGTCTCGGTAACGGGATGTCGCACCACATATGTATGTATGTATTATTTAAAATATGTGATAGTTTTGGAATGAGACCTACTTTGGTTAAAATTTATATGTAAGAGAGACACTCTTAAAGAATATGGCTGACTGTGAGAGTACTGTAGAAGTGCTGGCATTATAGTGTAGGCTCTTTACTTATCAAGTAAGAATTTGATGTTTGTATGCCCTATCCTTAGTCTAGTTAAGGCAACTTCCTCTCTACGAATAGAGCAGTTCGAAGTTGACCATAGTTTTACTGATTTTTTTTTTTTTATTTCCTTCAATTTGCTCGGTGGGCTCTCGTTCCACATGGTATAGTGTATTATGATCTGGAAGGGGACTTTTGGAATTTCTACTTTCTCCTTCTATTTATATTCGTGAAGTAAAAATATGTATAACACTTAATAAACATAAGTTTGAAATTAGCTATTACCTGGAGGAGAGGAGGAATGAGTGACGTTGGCTGAGTGTGTTCTTGCCTCAAATCACACTTTTGATCGACAAGCCCGGCCGGGACGGTGTACGAACATTGGTAAGTACTCCTCCCACCTCGTGTCCGATCTTCCCTGATTGCTGTCAACAACATCAAAATATTAATCACTCAATCTCCATCAAAGAGAAAATTAAATTATAATTCTCAAATAAAAAATTGAAGTTATAAATTTAATTCAAAATAGTATTAAAATAAATATAGTTTTTAGTTCTTATCATAATTTAATAGTTAAATACCATTTAACAATATTTCATACCTTCCAACTTCATGCCCATGTTTAAGCACTTGTCGAACCTACAGGCTGGACACTTCTTTCTTGTCGCAATAGTCACAGGACAAGAGGATCCTCTGAGGCAGACATAATTTTTCCTGTTCTGTACAGTTCTTTTGAAGAACCCTTTACAGCTCTCACAGGAAAAAATGCCGTAATGGAATCCTGAGATTTTATCTCCACAAATAGGGCAAGGACTAAAAACAAAATAAAAATGTATGATAAAAAAAAATATATAATTTTTTTGATATAAATTATTGGTGTACTATAACTAGATGTGTAGAACATGTGAAATATGATTGTATAGTGTTGTTAGTAAAATGATTTTTAAGATAAGGAAAGGTCTTTGGAACATTAATGAAAATAAATATTTAAGAAAAAAAAAATTTATATAGAAAAAATATATACAAAACAGAATTGATAATTTGCATTTTTAACATGATAATATAATTAGATGTAAGTTTTATGAAATTTCCTTAAAAATGCAAAATATGAAAGAAATAATTTGCTTTAGCAAGCAGGATGAGACCAGAAAGAGGGATATTGCAGCTTCATTGGATTTGAAACCATGTCAGTAATAGCTTATAAATTTGTCTGCAGAAGGAATGACAAAGTTTCTGAATTTTTTTAAAATCATTTTTTTCTTCAAGATCATATTTTTTGAAATTGAAGATATGGTAGAGTGACTTACATCCTATTCTTTATCTAAGCTTATGTTTGTCTCTCCATTTTCAAGGAGAGAGCAGAAAATAAGAAACTTTTCTGTGAGAATGAATTTTGTATTTTTTATTTTTAGATTTGATGTATTCATTTGAAAGAATTAGGGTTCACCAAGTGTTAAAAAATTTGACCATAATCATTGTTGAACGTTTGAGGAAAACATAAATGCATTTGCCTGTTTCCAAAATTTTTTTCTAGTCTTATATACATATATAAATACACTCCTCAATTTGATTGCAATGTTTTATCAAAATCTCAAAACAGTCTGTGAAAAACTTCCGGAGATCAGTGATTTGACAAATTGAAATTTACATTTTTATTTATATACAGTATTTTCAATTTTTTTTATTTATAACACTAAAGATCATCTAGAATAGCTTCTAAACAAAAAGAGAAAAAAGAATATCGGTTGAGAAACAGAGAACAAAAAGGACTCAACTGATTTGCCTTTGCCTATTTGAGGGAGCGGGGTATCTCAGTGGTAGGGCACTAAATTTCCTATGCTCAAGATCCCAGAAAAATTATTTATTCTGTTTAATTGGCCATGGGGTGATCCAGGGGCACACCCATCCTCAATAAAGTGGATACCCTTAATTAAATAATAGATTAAGGAGGAAAACCAGGTGGTTGAGCATAATCCTGGCCCAATCCCCTCTCCTCACAAACGTCCCCTTTTGGCCATTAGGAAACAGTACTTTCCCTAAATAGTACTGAATCCAAGACCCTTCATGAGTTTTAGTGGCACAGATTTTTGTTTGTATTTATTTAAAATCAATAATAAATCTAAACAACCAAATTTCAGTTAAAAGTAAAGTAAAAGTTCTAAAAAAAATTTGGATTCTTATCCTATGCAAGATCTTATATAAAACTGATCCTTTATTATTGGATGAGTCGTAGATACTATACTCAATAAAAAAATATATTTTATTTATTTATCTAAGGGTTTGAGAAACACAAATGTGTTATTATTAATATAACCAATATGTAATTTCATCTAATATCTTGAATGATATCCAGTGTATTCTAGTCTCTATTTCAACAAAAATATAATATATGAGTACATATTTATAATAGTTTGTTTGGAAGAGATTAATATTTACCTGTTTATAAGTTGCTGCCTGCTGATTCCTGGCGAAGCAAGACCAGCAGAATGCTGCACCATATCAGCAGTCAATGATGAGAATTTATCTTCAAGAACACCTCCATCATCTGTTCCAATATAAAGAAAGTATACATTAATTTATTATTAGTTGTACTTTATTTGTAGGTATTGCGTTGCAAGATATCAAACTGAAAAATAAATGGTGATACACTCGTAAAAACTAATTTTTTTTTAATCTATGATAACTCTTAAAGTAGGAAAATTGTCAAACCCAAGTACAACCCAACTTGAAGATTTTTGTAATTTAAAATTTGTATTAAGGATTTTTTTAATAATTTCAGTATGTAAAGGGTTAGTTTAAAAATTCAAACGATTCAAGATGAATAAATGGTTGAAAAGATTTCTGAAAATCTGATCTCAAGTATTTTTTATATGATTTTTGTTTATATTATACTGGTTATTTAAAATGTGTATTTAGAAATGTCATAATAATTAGAATATGATTTTTATCACTTATAACCATAAAATAAAAATTCGGAAAAATTCTGATCAAAATTTTTTATCTATAATTTTTAAAAATTATTTGATGATTTTTATTTTTTATTTTATGGTTATAAGTGATAACAATCATATTCTAATCATTATGACATTTCTAAATACACCTTTAAAATAACCAGTATAATATAAACAAAATTCATATAAAAAATACAAGAGATCTGATTAGATGGATCTGATTGGATATTAAATTAAATTCAGTCCGAGTGATAATCAAAAGGGATCAATCTCAGTAATCCGGACTTTAGAAGTCCAACACTACAGTAATAGGAATAGGAAAAATAGAACAAAAACAGAAGGAATGATTAACAGAAAGTTTCGTTCAGAAAAGGGAAACAGAGAGCAAAAAATAAATCTCTAACAAAAGATGCCCATCTATACACACCCACCATTCCCAGAGTTATCCCGGAATTGATTGTTTTCTTTTATCAAAATATAATGTCAGTAATGTTTGAAGATGGAGTGTCTGATTTAAATCACTATATTTAATGGAAAATTGTAAACAATAATTCTGTGGTAACAAATTCTTCTTCAACATCTAGGATAAGAAGCAGAACTAAAATCTATTAAAAGAAATAAAATAAACTGTTTTTATTTGGGTATCCTCAGATGTATTCAGTAAATAAAGTTTATTTATTGAATTTTATCTTTTATAGTAATTTGTTTTAGTTTTCACGAATACTCTCTTAAATCCTAACTTTACAGCAATCCAGCAATTAGTTTGGATCACAGAAATTTTACTGAGTAAACAAACCAAAAATATTAACCTTGAATGGAATAGTCATGGACACTCCTGGAGTTGAGGACAGGCGAGGGAAAGCCAGGCCTTGGGATGTGCCTACCCTGGATCGGAGAGTGAGTTGGAGAGAACTGGGTCGGAGACACTGATACTGATGAGTAACTGAAAGTAATAAATTTAAATAAATATAAGCATATATCATAATGTATTTTCGTAATATTAATAGGCCTAAATGAGAATTATAATTTTTTTTATCTACCTAATTTTATCTCTTGTAATATTAACATAATTTAATACATTTATAAAAATACGTAGTATGGTCCGTAAGTTTCTGGCCTGCCCCCATTTCCCTAATCAACCTGCATAACATCTGTGCCTGATCTCTTCATATCCTTCACCTGTATTTCCTCAGTCTTGTCAGTCAGTGTCTAGCTTTGAAGGAAACTTTGCATTTTTACAATGTTCAAATACCGTGCACTTATTAAATTCTTTTGTGAAGAGGGCCTTACTCCTGTGCAAATTAAGGATCGCTTGAATGGTGTGTATGGGCAGTCCTTCCTCTCATATTCCATTGTAAAAGAATGAGAAAAATAATTTAAGTTTGGAAGAGAAAGTCCAGTCGCCCATTGGAAGTTATCACTTCTGAAACAATAGAACTTGTGGAAACTAAATTGCCGTCTGATCGATGACTGAAGACCAAAGAAAAAAAAGCAAGGTCGTGGGTTTCAAAAACAAGTGTTCTGAGGATCATCAAAGAAGCATATGAGTAAGGTGACTGGAAGATGGGTACCAACAATTCTTTCAGCTGCTCAAAAAAAATTGTTGGACTTGGAAAATTGTAACTGAACAATTTCAGAAATATTTATTTATTAATGAAACAAAAATGTAGAACATTTGATTAAATTTGCAATCTACAAATTTCTTTGCAATGAGCAAATTTTTTGGTAGTTTCACAGCTTCCCATGACGTCCGGGATGTAAATCAGATCAGCAGGTTTTATTAACAATCATTGTGTTCTACCAACTGAAGTAGATGCTCAACTTCATAACATTAATCAACCCAGTGATGTCGAAACCTCCACCGATCTACGTAAAATCAGTGAGTAACTACAAACTGTTATGCGACGAGCTACATATTAATTCTACATATTACTATACATATTAACATTTAATTCAATTTGTGTGTAAAAGGTGATTTTTATTCATAGATCAAATTTTTTTTAATCATAATTTAATACTGTATTTTTACTGTATAATTTAAAACTGTATCACTACTGTAAATTGTGAGCATTTAGTTAAATAACCTCTACAATCAAGGAGTGAGGAGACAAAAAGAATTAATAGCGATAGATAAATTATAGGAATATTTTAATTCAGAATAGAAGTACTACTCAAATATAATTATCGAATATAATTTTTATTTTTACCTGTGACTGTAGCATGATGAATGTTGAGAACCACCATACTGTGATGCATCGCTGTTGTTTCTCGATAAAGATGGGGTGAATGGAGATGATATCCCGGAGGAGGAAGACAAGATATGGCGGGAGGTAACAGGGCTAGCTGTCGGAGAGTAGCAGGAGTATACGGCAGAGTCGGGGCTCGGCGTGGGACCGGCTCCTTTCAGATAGTTACCGCTACCTGAGGAAAATAAAAGAATTTAAATCGATATTATTAAGACACTAATCTATCAAATTTTCATTGATTTTTATGATTTTTACTCACTCAAAATCTTATCCACTAGGAGAGGAAGCTCAGTATGAGCATTAATATGATTTGTCCTTGTTTGGTCCAAAACTTTTTCATTCTAAAACAAAAATAAATAATAAAAATTAGAGAAAACATAAGCAATAACATACAAACTTTTAATAGTTTTTATAACTATTATGAATAAAAGATGTATATTTCTGATAATTTACTGTTGTTTCTTCATTTTATTGTATGATAATCTTTTCTTAATAAACAAACGAGAGTATATTTTATTTATGTTTTTCATAACGCATCTATACATCCATCCACATTTGTTACAACAAACATAAGTAGATAAAACAAAAACAATTAAAAATTACAATTTTAGAGAATCCAAGTTTTGGATAAAAATTTGTATAACAGGTAACTAATGTCTTATTTATAAATCAAACTATATGCAATGAGTATTGCCAGATTGGGTTAATCTCCCTGAATTTATTACTATCACAGAATGACCCAAGAAAAAAAATTATACATATATAATTATAATTTTAAAAAACAACACACATATATGCACGAAGAATCTCCAAAACTATTAATATTTGAATAATAGACAAATATTTTGATCTACCATCCTATAATTTTTGTTAACATTTATTTTAAAAACATCTATTTGAACACTTTGATGATTAGCCATCTTCAGCAATCTCTACTTATTTATTTTTTAACTTAAATTAAATTAATAATTATCGACAGTTTTTCTAGTTTCATTTGTGAATGACAGTTGTCACTTTTAAAAAAACAAAATTAACTTATATTATCATTATTAATCTAACCAAATATAAAAACAAAAACCATAGCTATAATTTACACTGAATATAAACTTATTTTTAAAACTATTTATTTTTTCCAATGTAAATTATTGTCATGGTTTTTGGTTTTATGTTAGGTAGGATTATTAATGATAATAAAAAAAAACAATACGCAAACATTGCTGAAGTGATATAATAGTTAGTAAAAATTGAGGGATGGAAGATAAAAAAAAAAAAAAAAAAAATATATATATATATATATATATATATATATATATATATATATATATATCATTCATACTTATAATAACAAAATAAGTAATTAATTAATTTATAATTTTAGAGGGAAAATCTACTAAGTTTAGGGAGAACATGATATAGAAACACTGATTCACAAGTCCAAGGTCTGAAAAAAAAACTAAAAAATTGTAGCTACTTTAAAAATTAAACCGACTAACATACTTACAGTTAAAATATTTGGGATTAGAGTGCTACCATTGGGTAGTTATTCAGCAAGTATTTTTAATGTCATTATATACATTATGTTCTAATTTACTAGATGTATTTATTTTTTATTTAATACAGTTGTAAATGTCTTTAAGAAATAAAAAAATAAATAAAAAATATTTGGTAAGCTGCTATGAAGCCGAGATTAAAAAGAATATAAACTAGACTTGACTATAAAATTGAAATATAAATATGAAATTGTTTTGTTTTTTATGAATGAAATTCATAAAATAAAATTCATATGAATGAATATGAACTGCAAAGATTTGATGGAAACTCACGATTGTCTCGTTGTTCAGTTTCAAAGGCTGAGGCACTTCACTATCCCCTTTCGTTTGGTTGCCCTTACTGGAATTTTGATTGTCTATCGTATCAGCCACATCTTCTGGCTCCTGAAAATGTTTTCAAGTCTTATGAACCTCATGAGAAAAATCATAAGAAATGGAGTTGAATATTGTATTGAATGGTAAATTAAAATGTGATAAGCATTTTATTCCAACTATTTGGACTACATGTAAAAGGAAATATTTCCCCACCGCCTAAAGCCGCTTCAAAGTAAAATGGATTCTCCAGGACTACATCGTCTTTAAATTCCTCAAAAGGGCATGGGAGGTCTCTGTTCTAAGTTGCACATCCTGGAAAAAGACATAGATCCCCATGCTTCAGTATCCTAGATGGCTGAGCAGGTCATAGCCAACTTCATTGCCATTGATGGACGGAGGGCCAGAATGCTGAGGGAAACCAGACTGCCCTCAAGGAGAACAAGTTTCCAGAACTAGCGATGGAGCAGAACTACCCGCATTACAAAGACTTTAGATATGGAAGGGAAAGCTGCTATGGTGCCAGCACACTTCAATCTGGTAAGAAGAGGACCCGTTCCTGGAAGACCACCAATTTCGATGGTTCTATGTTCTACCTGAAGACCCGAACAACAAATAAAAAAAAATTGTTTTATGAAAAGTGTTATAAAATTTGTATATTAAATAACAGAGATGGCATACTACATGGTTATGTGATATGTCATCACGGCAAAACATGAGTATCTGAAGAGCAAGAAGGAATACATGAAATAATGTGAAACAGTTTTCATTTTGTGTAAGCCCACTAGCCTACTATCGAGGTAAAATTTATTAGACCGATAAATTGAAATTTGGACTGGTTACATTAAACAAAGAAAGTCCTATATATGTTAGCCTAACATGACATGGCCCTTATTATTAATAAATTAATAATAATTCATAATAATTATTTATATTATCTGCAGAAAAGCTCCTTGTATTCTTACTCATTTTCCCACACTTTGACTACTACTGTATGGTTAAGGAGGCCCCCAAATTGTACTCGAGGGCAGATTAAAACGAATTATTAATTTCTTTCTAAGATTAGCTAACAGTAGATTCAGGAAATTTCATTGTTTTCACCTCTTTGCTAAGTGAAAATATTTATGCCATATTACTAATCCCCACTTCACCCCCTTCCAACATATATAGTCCTCTTCAATTCATACTTTTGATCCACTTTCAGAAAACAAGAGCACTTGTTTCAGATTTTTATACCACAGAACTAAAACCTTCGAACATGCTTTTCTTGCCCACTAGACTGCTTTCTAGAATTCTCTACCATCTAAGATCTGCCATGTCCCTTCGCTTTGTCCATTCAAATCTTTCCTTTTTTATTATCTTCTCATATCCCAAAACGATGCTTTTCAATCTTGAAATTTTAATTTAAGAATAACATTTTGAATTGGAGTGAATAATAGTTTTAGTATTTTTTCTTTTGATTATTTTTTTATAATACAATCATATGTATTCTGAAGATGATTTGTTTTTTTGTGTATATATTTTTACTGTTGAGAAAATACATAGGGTTTGAACCTTACAAATATAGTTTTTCGCCAGTAATATTTTCAATTTATTTGAACATATTTGTTATTCTTAAGATACCTGGTCCTAGAATAAAATTTATTCTTTATTCTCTTATGTTCTAAATGAAAAGGTAAAGAGATTAATTACCGGTTTGATTGTAGCAACCTCCGAGTCAGACAGCTCGCCCTCCCAAGACATCGGCCTTTCCACTGGGATCCTGGGGTCTTCCCCATGCCTATTCCTAAGGTTAACTGGAACAAAAAACAAATTAAATATTAACAAATCTGTATGAATTATTTTAATTAAAGAAAAAATTAATAAAAAACAAAAATTACCAGTTTCACTTGTAAAGGTGCTGACTTCAGCATCAGCTGCTGACGAGTCATCATCAACATTCATTTGTTCATTGCTTACTACAACGGAACATGCACTGCTTGAGCCTAATAAAACATTATTAATGAAATAAATTTAATTTGGTACATATTTAAATCAGTTAATAAATATAAAATTTATCTTACAAGATATAAGCTCGCCATTGCACTGGGGTTGATAATACTTTTGTTCATTTTCTGAAAATAAAAATTATCATATTTGAAATTATTTATTTAAGTATATTTATTACTAAAAAGTAGCCTTACAGTAAATAAAGTGATATTACAACAAGTTATACAATTTATCTATTAATTTTTGTAAAACAATAGCAATAAAAAATGTAAGAAAGGATCAAAAGTAAAATTGTATTTTAAAAGTGAAGTAAAATCTATAAGTGGTTTAATATTATCGGAAGTGGCAATTTAAAGTCTCAAATGCAGGAGTATACCTCTTCCTCCCCCCTCCTCCCGAGAAGTTATACTTTCCTGCTCTGGTTAAAAACAGTGAAAGCAAAATTATATTTAAAAAAAATTATAAATTATAAAAAATTACACTTGCTGTCTGTTTCATGGTTATCCACTTGTTTTGCGGTATGAAAATTCCTTTAAATTGAAACTCCACAAAAATGAGCTTCATTTAAAAAATTTCTAACCCCATCAATATACAGCTCCTCTTACAAATTCAAACTCGTCCCCTAAAAAAATGTTGATGGCACTATCCTTCTGGGCATCCCGCTCAAATGTTAAATCCAAGATTTTAAAACAATTTCTATCCCTGTCTGCTATGTCTTTGGGTCACAAATCATAAAAACAGAGGGTCCAAGAAGGAAGTGGCATAGTGCATGTTGCACCATACAAATTTTTGAGGAAGCATATTTTTACGGAGTTTTGAATTTTTAAGAGGGCAAAGGTTGAAGAGTTTTGAATTTTTAGGGGTAACAACATTTATGTGAGTTTTTTTTTTTCAGTTTGGAGGAATTTTCAAACAAGGAAAAACGTGGAACAGCCTTCAGCAAGTGTAATTGCACTTAAATTATAATTTCTATAATTCTTTCGCTTGCACTGCTATTAAGAAGAGAAGATCAATACAATTTCTTAGAAGTGGGAAGGAGGGTGCAACATCGACCTTGAGGGGATAAGCAGTCCTATATAAAACAGCTGCAAGGATACAGGACAATAAATAAGCACAATTTTTTCCAAACAAATTGGACAAGTAAGAAATGAACGTGAAATAATAAATGAGTGTGTTAGCAGAATCAATAGCTAAAATAGATTATATATACATAATGGAATTGACTATAGCAGAAAAAGAAATCAGAAATAACAGTCACTGCGATTCCTAATGATAGACAACTCAGAAAAAGCTCGTTAAGTACAAAGTACTCTCAGGTAAACTAAGAAATCTTTAACAGCTTGACAAAGTACAGGTGAAAGTTATTATGACCATTAGTTTTACATTGAAATCAACAGGGAAAGCTACTAAAAGACTAGATTCCTCAATAATATTGAAATAGTAGTTATAAAAAGGTGTGGAATGATTCTCTGGGCAAAAAAAGTTTTCTTATGAGCTATAGTAATTATTATACTAGTTGAAGATGATAGAACTAGCATGTAAATATGGTCATGGTAGGTAGTCTATCAGAATTTTAACTGCTAAACTGATTATTACCTTCCATAACAATTAATTAAATCAAATATCCAATATATATATAATGAATATAATATTTTATTCTTATTGACCAATCAAGTTACTAAAAAATAAAAAGTAAGTTTATAAATTCATTAAATATTACAAAAAATGTGCATGAAAATGAAAAACTGATTTAGTCAGAGAAGTGATTCACACATGCTTGGTTGGATTTTTTCAATGATAATTAATCTAACATATATTTTTTATCTCTTGGTGAATTTTCACTCATTTATATTAACCTATTATTAATGTACTAAGCAACAGATCTATACAGACTGGTGTCTCCGTGCACTGTCTAATCTACCAGGAGAACTTTCAAGTTGAAGCTTCTCCAACCCAAAATATAAAAATTATTTATAATTTTTACTTTATTCAAAGATTCATATTTGTTTATGTGAGCTAAATACTGGAACAATTACAAAATGTGTACTCTTTTTAATTTATAACTCAAACACAGCTAATAAATGTAATCACATGTAAAAAAACAAATTATCGCTAAAAGGATTATTGTTCCTCTAAACAGATTTTTTTTTACAGGCTTTCAAGGACTGCCTAAACATTATAACATTATTTTATACACTTATTGTATTTTTCATTGTTTCATTTTGCCACTATTGTCTCAGCATCAACAGAGCTAAAATTACTGATACCTATAGGGGCCATTGCAATTGAAGTCAGCCTTACGACTGTCATCACTGACTGATGGAGTAAGGTCTCGTTATGTACTCATTTGCTAATGAAGTGAATCATTTAAAATAAGATGAAAAAAAAACAAAAACCGTTTAGTTCTGGAGAGCAAACAGGCTAATCCAAGCAGCGAATTTCTTGATTTTGAAAGCATTAACTAGCTCTATAAGGTTTAGAGTTGTCATCCACAAAAACAAATTCTTGGCCAATTTCTTCTACCATAGGTTGAACTCCTGTCCAAGTAACGTTGAGCATTCATAGTCTTATTTTGTAAAACTGCAAGCACTGGTCAAGAGTACGAAGACATATCACTCTACACTGTAATTGAGCTTTCTCCATGATATCTGAATTCAAGCGAATTAAACTCTTTGAATTTTATGTTGTGGGGTGAGTCCTAGAATGAACAGAGGTTTTCACCGGTGCAATACTTGCTCTATCATCCTTCTTCTAAGTGTGAGAAGACTGATTTGCACACAAGAGACAGAAACCAAATCATCAACTAGCTTTCGGTAAGTGTTGAAGCGATTCCTTTAGGCCCAGGCAGTCAAATATTGGTCTTTTTGAACTGTAATAAATCAGTGACATCCTCTACCAAGTATTAAAAGTGTTAAAATTGTGTATTAAAAGGGACGAATATCCTGGTAACGCCTTCAAGCATCAAGTTACCACACTTTGTGAGTACCCATGCTGCCACATTTCTCTGGGTACAGGGGTGCCCACAAGGGGATTTCATGGCGCAAGTTTCAAAATTTTTGAGGGAAGCATATTTTGAGAGTTTTGAATTTTTGAGGGGAGCACATTTCGATGGGGTTATGAATTAAGTTTCAAAAGCATAGTACACATCACTGAAAGTGTAATTGTATATGACCTATGATTTTTAAAATTTTACTTTAGCTTGACTGTATTTAAGAAGAGAAGAGAAATAAAATATCTTGGGAGGAGGGGGAGGGAATCATGCGCCATCGACCTTGGGGGAGGGGAGGGATGGACACCCCTGCCTGGGTATCACCTCCTTTCAAAGCAGTAAGATATGTTGTAAGCTCTACTGCTATAAGACGCCGTTTATACACCTCTAATACACAAAGTAACTTTTAAAAAAGTGTTAATGAAAAAAAATACACATACATTTTTTAATAAAACCGGACTACTTAATTCTTTAATATGGACTTCTTTCTAAGCTACTTGGCAGACGTTCCAAATTATCTGTGACTAATAAATTAACTATTTACAAAGTCCTCATTAAACCACCTTGGACATATGGAATCGAGCTATGGGAAACAGCAGAGACATCAAATATAAAAATAAGCCCGTCATTACAGTCAAAAGTCCTTCAGAAAATTGTAGACGCACCCTTTTATGTTTCAAACCTTACGTCACACACCTTTCATCACGGATACTGCCACTGACCGCTTTAATAATTTACATGACAGACTGACTCTAAATTCAAAACCACTTACTCAAGTGCTATCTACAGCCACAAATCCATATAATCCGCCCAGAACACTGCTGAGGCGCTGGCCAAGAGACTTATTAAGTAGGCATTGAGCTACTTGCTGCACTATATTTTTTTTGTGTGTGTTATTATGTGTTAATTTACTACTATTTTTTTTTTTTTTTTTTGGCTTTTGGTTTTGTTATTACTATTCTTTTTTTTATGCTATCATTTATTCTCCTTGATATCACATTTGCTGAATGCCGAGGTAGATGGCAAATTTATGGTGAGCCAGGAATATGTGTAACTAATATATAAAAAATAAAATAAAACCGTTAATAAAAACGGTTAGTGAAAAAAAAAAATAGGTTAAAGAGAAATAAAGTGAAGTGAATACAAGCTGAACTTAAGATAATTCGCTCTTATGTTTATGTTTGAGAGAGTTTATTTCAAAGGAATTAATCCATTGCGAATGTAAAAAAATCTGGTGCGCGCAACACACAACTTTCACTTACCGATCTACTATGAATAGAAATTATTTTCTGGCAATGCTGGGCTATTATAAATTTATTTGAAGTGCATTTTAAACGGACCATTATAATTACAAAATGTCTATTTAATATATCGACGACAGGCAATAAAAATCTAGTCACTCCATCTGCTTTTATAAACCACACAACTTTCTTTGCTTTTATAAACCTCAGAATGACTAACTCCATTTCAACATTTTTGAGTGATGTCATTTTAGTGATGTTTTTAGTTGACAAAGTTATCCATACAGAATATGAGTAAGTTGTATCCAGGGGTGGTGATTGCAGTGTTGAAATATAGAACTGAGAATAAAGGTATAAATTTAGGTACTTATTTCTTATCTTTAGAACAAAGGTTTTTTTAGACGCAACAATTAAAAAAGTATTTTTTTAATTTCTCCAAATTTTCGCCTCTTCAGGGAAAAAACTAGAGACTATATCTTTCCTCCTAATTGTCCGATCTTAATGATTTTTTTTTGTTTTTTTATGAAATTCCATAAACTTTAAAAAAATCATAGACGTATATGAACATTGGGCATTTAAGCCCTGTAAAGTGACCTCAATGGGGATAAGACCTAATTGATATTAAAGACCACTTAATTATACAATGATACACCGAGTTTAATCAAAATCGTTAAAGCCGTTTTTGAGAAAATTGTGAAAATGTGTTTCAGCGTTGAAATAAAGTGGCACTTCCGGTTAGCCAATTTTAAGGAAAAAGTTGCCGTCACATCTAAGGCATATACCTATCTTAAATACGTAATAGCACTTTCGAAGGACTTTTCGTTTTTGAGCTAAACTGCTAACACACAGACACACATACCATTTTTCGGGATTTGGTCATTTGGACTCAGGGTACCTCAAAACATGTATTTCCGTTGAAAACTCAGATTCAAAAATTTTCTGGATCGCAATACTTGCCCTTGCTATACATAAGTAAATGAAAGTAAAAATCAACAGGTGTCAAACTGGACAAATATTGATTTCTTACTATTTTATAAACAGTTTATGAAACGATCCACTTCATCTGAAAATGTTTATGTATTAAATGGATACAAATATTTTGCTGTTATGGATCGATTTTGATAGTACGAGAGTCATTCTTTCGGATCCAGTTTTGCTAAAACCCTTTACAAAGAGGTTTATGTTAAGCTGAGCGAATGATGACCACCCGCCCACCGTTCCAGGAAACGGGCCTACAGCAGGTAAAGAAGGCGGCCTTGGGCAGCGCTGCACCTCTCGGCGGCCGCGCCTCTCCCAGCCGACGCTGTCTGTATCTCCCTGCCCTCTATATCTAAATGGAGCGTATTACCTATCTCTATGGAATCCTGGGAGGTATTATTTACATCTAACATAAAATACAATATTGAAGAGAAGAATAGTGGGGGTGATCAGTCAAATAAGAAGGAAAAAAAAATGATACTATTTATTATGACATTAGCCGACGTTTCGACCTGAAGTTCAGGCCATCATCAGGGCTAAGAGGAGAACCAGATAACAAGGTATGAGAAACATAAGTAGTGTAGGTAAAAAAAAAAAAAATTAAAGTAAAATTCAGTTGATAGAATAATGACAATACTAAGAACAAAGAGATAAATGATAATAAGCGGTATAAAGTGTGGAATGGTGAAGTAAACATAATAAAAATAAAATAAAAAAAAGGTGACATAAGTATTATTAAAATTACCTTTTTAAAAATACCTAAGATTCCCATTTTAATACTTGTCACCTTTTTTTTTTTATTATGTTTACTTCATCATTCCACACTTTGTACCGCTTATTATCATTTATCTCTTTGTTCTTACTATTGTCATTATTCTAACAACTGAATTTTACTTTATTTATTTTTTTTACCTACACTACTTATGTTTCTCATACCTTGTTATATGGTTCTTCTCTTAGCCCTGATGATGGCCTGAACTTCAGATCGAAACGTCGGCTAATGTCAAAATAAATAGTATCATTTATTTTTGCCTTCTTATTTGACTGATCACCCCAACTATTTTTCTCTTCAACACTCACGACAGTCAACCATTTACCAATTATAAAATACAATATATCGGCCGCTATTTTTCTGAGGGAGCAGGCAGGTGTTGCGGTAGATACCAATCTATTAACGTTTCCACCATATATATTTTAATAAACCTTTTGGTTAATCAGATTTTTCCTTTTTTTCCCTCCAAACGATCTTAAAAATACTTTCTGTCCAATCAAGGGCGGGTCTACGGGGAAGAGCTTTCGGGCTGAAGCCTCCCCGCCTACTCAAAATGGTAAAATATAACCATGTTCTATGGAAAAAAAAATTTAAAAATACCTCTTAAAGTATTATTGTTCGTGTAATTACATTTAAAAGGACTTTAGGAATCACTTAAACACCATTTCATATAGGTAGTTAGTTTCTTTCTGTTTTTCTAAAGTAAATATCGTTATTTTTATGAAAAAAAAGAAGCTTTCGAGCTGAAGTCTCCCCCCCCCCCAAAAATTAAATCCTGGATCCGCTAGTGCTGGGTGGTGTTATTTACATCTAACATAAAATACAATATATATGTCGCTATTTTTTGGAGAGAGCAGGCGGGTGTTATCGTAGATACAAATCTACCAGCGTTTCCACCATATATATTTTAATAAATCTTTTCGTCAGTCGGATTTTTCCCTTTTTATCCTCCAAATGAACTTACAAATATCTTCTCCAATCAAGGGCGGATCTACGGAGAGGGGCTGAAGTCCCTCCCCCCCAAAATGGTAAAATATAACCATGGTCTATGGAAAAAAAAAATTAAAAATACCTCCTAAAGTATTATTGTTCGTGTAATTACATTTATACATTTATTAAATAGACATTTTGTAATTATAATGGACTTAATGACTTGTTATCTGTAAGCTTTAAGCTTCAGCTCCGTTTAAAATGCACTTAAAATTTTATAATAGCCCAGCATCACCAGAAAATAATTTCTATTCAAAGTAGAGCGGTAAGTGAAAGTTGTGTGTTGCGCGAACTAGATTTTTTTATTATTGTTTTATTTTGGCCAGATGTAGTCTTTTAACTATGTTCTATTTTGTTATTCTAAAGGGACTTTGTCCCAGAATAAAGTTATTTTCTATTTCTAATACACAAATGACTACATTAAGGTACATGTATCACTATTATAATAATATACTATAATATATTTATTATAGGTACCCGCTGGACGGAGACTTAAGACCACCCCAGCAGACGTGGGCCTGCACTTGACACCGCCCTCCATCTCTTAAGCGTGTGCTACCTCCCCATGGTAATGGCTATGTTCCTCCTCTCTGCTCCTCTCTGCTCTATTACCATCCAGTCACTCGAGATCTGCAACAGATGGTACATTAAAATAAATAATTTAAAAAATATGTAAGCATATAACTTGTATAATGATTTATACAGGTACATGATTAAACCATTCAAAAAATAACCTAGATTAATTAAAGCAATCAAAAATATAAAAAACGAGACAAACAATATTTGTTATAAAATTATTATATGAATTTCCTGCCGATTTTAGACAAATTTATACAATTTACGTCCATAAAAAACAAAACAATTAATTACATAAGTATATATTAATTACATTTATACTTGCCAAGGCTATCGGCTCTATACTATAGTACTCTGGAGAAAGTTAATTATAGGAGTTAATTATTTCAGTATGACCAGCATAAGTATCACTACGATCTTGACAGCAAATAGTGTCTATAGAAGCAAAGAGGCAAAAACTAAGTTTAGAATAAACTATGGTTAAATTTAAACCACTCCTGCATAAGCGCAGAATTTCAATTTTTATTATATACACTTACGATATACCTATTAACGATTAGATCTCGACAGCTACTTATGCAGACGATACAACTCTCACAAAACATCAAGACCCTACACAGGCCTCACTAACTATACATCACTTACTCAAATTACAAGATTGGTTCACACTATGGAAAATTCGACTTAATCATGACAAATCCAAACATATAACATTTACTCTTCGAAAAAACACCTGCCCTCCAGTTTATATTGACAACAATCAAATTTCTCAAACGGACACGGTCCTTTACCTTGGACTCATCTTCGACAGATGGCGATCATCTTAATATGGGGTCCGCATGTTAAAATGAAACGTAAGACACTTAACAAACGACTTAAACTACCTTACTCTCTTTTTTCTAAATCTTTAAAACTAAAACAGAAACTGAATACATATACATACTTACTTAAACCCATATGGACGTATTCATCACAAATATACGGTATCGCTAAAAAGACCAACCTACAAAAACTTCAAACGTTCCAATCAAAATTATTGCGACTCATAACAAAAGCACCTTGGTACGTGACTAACAAAACTCTACATACTGACCTCCACTTTCCAACAGTTTACCAGCATATAACGATCCTTTATCAACGATTTTACACAAATTTAAATGTAGATAATAACAGACATGGCCACAGCTGACACACCTCAGAACATGAGGAGGAGACTAAAAAGGCGTTGGATGAGGGATCTGCTTCCTTAGACAACCTAAGTAATTGGAACAAGTTAGGGAAGAGGGACTGCTGAGTACTTTTCTTCCCCATCCCTGTCATGTCATTATATCATGTATCGCCATCACATTTGCTGATTGTCAACAATAAGTTGACAGGCAACCGGATAACAGAGATTTGAGATGATATAAAAAGTACGAGTTCGCGTCCCGGTGCCGGAGGGGATTTTAAATTCCCCGCCCTCACCCCCCAAAAGGCTAGGTAGGGAAGAACAAAAAAAAAAAAAAAAAAAAAAATAAGTTGACAGGCGCAAATATATTTTTGATGGACAAAAAAAAAAAAGGTGTAAAAGTCTCTTTTGAACGTAATTATTGTAAAATTAGTAGTAAATGTATGACTGATTATTTAAAAAAATTCTCCCTTCTTCGCCTTTTAGGCTATACCAGGATTTTACACGGATCGGAGGATAAGGTGTGTGCTGTAGACATCACTATAGAAGTGAAAACACCAACAAGGCGCGATTAATAATCTGAAATATAAATTATAAATAATAGCTCATTGATAAAGTATACAGGTCCGATTTTTAGTTTTAGTAAAACTAGTTATCATTTGTTTTTTGACACTATTTTCTCACTTATCTATCCTCTAACACGGCGTCGCGTTAAGAAAAAAAAATTGAATAATAGCTCATTATCAAGAAGATGGAATGCTGAACATTTCCATAGCTTACAGTATGCAGGTCCGATTTTTAGTTCCTGAGATATTTTACCTCATTGTATTCTCCATATCTTCAATAAAACTCGTTATCATTTGGTTTTCGACCTTATTTTTTTTTCTTTTCGTCTCTCTAACGCGGCGTCGCGGTTAAGAAAAAAAATTGAATAATAGCTTATTACAAAGAGTATGAAATGATGAACATTTCTCTCACTAATTATATGCAAGTCCAATTTTCAGTTTTTCAGATATTTTAATCCATATACAGAAACACTTCAATTAGTCGACTACAGCCGACTTTATTCGAGTGTTACACATCGGAGATCTGACGGTTCAATCTAATTCACTCTCCACAAAAAAAAAATTCAAAACGCGTCTAAAGAAGTTTTCTCTCTCTCAAAAAATGATTGAACTATAATAATTTTAATAAAAACCTGTCAGATAAATGATAACATAAAGATTTATTTGATGAACTAAAGCAATCCGAAAGGGAACATGAGCCATAATTAAAATCACCCTGTAAACTTCAATACACTATAAAGTTGCTATAACTGGTCAGATTTAAAACCACGTTTAACGTTTATTACATTCAATAACCAACCTTTGTATTTGGCCAAAAAAAATTAAACCCTGTAAAACGTATGTTATACGTTTCAACATATGTAGAATCTGAAAAAAAATCTGCCTGTGCGCTTTTCGCGTTTTATCTCCAAGACTACTGGACCGATTGTTTTTAGATTTGGTATCAATGTCAAAGGGCACAAGAGGATCATTTTCGTTGGGCATTACCATCAGCCCTTTTCTTTGAAGATGGCGGCTGACATATCTATATCAATTTAGAATGGACGTATGTACCGACTAATACAACTTTGCTTGTCTTATCCCGGATGCTCTTAATATTTATATATATAAAATACGTCACCGAAAAGAATCTGGAAAAAATTAGGCTTGGTGCAAAGATATCCTGTTCTAAATATATTTCGCATGTTCTAATGCAAAGCTAATATCCTTTATTTTGATTTTTGGAAAGTTATACATCAACGTGAAGAATAGAGATTGTGTTTTTCTGAATCAGAGGCTCTGAAACGTAAAGAATAGTTGAAAACCTCACATCGAAAATTTGACCCGATCGCAATACTTTTCTTACCTAGTAGCGGTATGAAAGTAACTATTTTATGAAATTAAAATAACTATTTTTTATTAAAATTTTTTATTAAAATAACTATTAGTATGAAAGTAAAATAACTATTTTTTTTATTGATAAGATTGATAAATAGTTGATTTATCAATTTGAAGATTAGAGCATATAAATGCATACCAGATAGATCTTACGTTCTAAAAAATATAAGACCGCACAACATCCTGATTACGAAAAACACAGTATCTTAATATTAGTATTGTCCAAATGCGAGACCGAGACGAGTCTTGGTCTTGTAAACCTAATCTTGGCCAAGGCCTTAGTTTTGCGCAAGAGTCTCGCAAGAGTTACTTATTAGCTTATTGCTATAGAGATATTACTGTAATTTTTTAGAAAGGATAAACCTATGTAATATACATATAGTATCTAAAATTATCAAGCATTAGTGACTATTTTTCCTTAATTTTTATTTAAAAAATCGATTTTTTTTACCAGTCCTGGTCTTGGTCTTACAACAGTTAAGCGGCTATGGTCTTGGTCCTGCAAAGTGCAAGTGCAAAGTGCAAGACCAAGACGATTTTGGGCAACACCACTATGTCGGAAGTAGTTGAAAGGTACACCTTTGTTAATGAGGAAACCATTTGCTGTTACTGAATATATTGCATAAAATTAAGGAAATCATTGTCTAAGAGGTCTTTGAAGGTCTGTAAAAAAAAGAAATGTGATTACAGGAAGTCACGTGGTTACATTTAGTGGCTGTATAAGCGTTATTATTTAAAAAGAGTTATTATTTTGCTTGGGAAAAGTTTAATAAGACGTGGAAGAAATTGAATATATATATTCAGTTCTGGAAAAAAATAAAATAATATGAGGGTGGGACCTCCTGCAACAATGTAACACAAAAAAAGTAACATTTTAGATCTGATAAAAGTAACTGTTATTTTAAATTAACCGGTTACTAAAATACTTAACGGTTTCTTATCTCAAGCATGGAGCTCCAGCCGTATTACTGGAAAGGGATTTTATACTGTAAGAATTCCAGAGAGAAGAGGCAGACAATGCCCCAGGTAGCAGCACAGTGCCTGGAGAGAAGCAAGGTCACCTCACGACCTTGTCATACAAAAAGTAAAGTCCTCCCTTTATTAACATTCTCAAAGTAACTTTTGTTTTTGTTTTTTGGGATTAACGATAAATCAATCTATTGAAGATATTGGATGAGCTCATCTTCCATCTATAGTATAGATTAATTACATCTATACTGGTCAAGGCTATTGGCTCTATACTATAGTACTCTGGAGAAAGTTAATTACAGGAGTTAATTATTTCAGTATGACCAGCATAAGTATCATTACGATCTTGACAGCAAATGGTGTCTCTAGAAGCAAAGATGTAAAAACTGAGTTTAGAATAAACTATGGTTAAATTTAAACCACTCCTGCATAAGCGCAAACGTTACATTTTTATTAGAAGGGAAAGAGGATGAACCAAAAAAAGTGTCGGGAGTGTGTATAATGTATAAACATTACGTGTAGAAAAATTTCTTTTGAACATAATTTTGTAAAATTAGTAGTTAATGTAACACTGTTTATTTATTTTTATCTTCCCTTCCTCGCCTTTTAGGCTAAAGAAGATTTTTCCGGACCAGAGGATAAGGTGGGGTCTACTGGGAAGGAAACTCGTAATTATTTTATCATGAAAACTTATGTTTATCAGATTGCCTGGCAACGCGAGTTTTGCACTCGGTTCGGCCACCCTGCCCTCTTCTATAAATAAGAAATTAATATAATTTAAATATAAATTTATATACGAACATAATGTATATCAATAATATTTAAATATTTACCACCACAAGACAACGTCGATCCAATTTGTTCGTCTACTAAAGCTAACTGACA